TGATATGTCCGGACGCAATCAAATAGAATGAAGTAAGCCCCTCGACTTGCAGCTGTTGTAGGTCAGGATGATGGAGAATCTGATCTTCCAAACTCAAGGCCCTCGCCCTTGAGAAGTACATTTGATGGTCATCTTCTTCTTCCTTCCAGTCTGAGTTTGTCAATTGCCCATACTTAGCCGCAATGGCAAAGATCAGGTTGAGTATAGCGAGCCACTTGTTTCCTGGTTTGAGAGACGGTTGACTGAAAAAGACCTGGAATTGGGGGACAAAGGTTGAAACTCCAATAATTGGGAAGGATGGATGCACCGAAGTCAGATAGGCATTGAGCATTTTGCCTGCCATCTCCCGTGAAGGGACCCCATACATATCACTTTGATCTGCTGTTGGAATGTCCAGGTCATCAAGGTAATAGTTGGAAGCCACTACCCATGGCTCGCTTGGATTCTCCGGTCGAGGTGTCAGAGTTGGAGAGGGCAGGCCATTATCGTCATCTGTGTTGGGAAGAGTTGCAGGCCAGGCCTCGCATTCACTATTGACCTCTTTGCTAAGCCTTTGGAGCCAAGTGATCTCGGAACTTTTTCCAATGAAACCCGTTGCTCGTGCAGTTTCATCTCTGTTGAAGTCCTCCTCTGTCTGGTCGCCGGATTCCAAGGGGCTAATGGATGATGCTCGAGAGGGCGGTGGCTCAGAACCCGTATGCCATGAAATCCTTCGTTCTCCAGCAGCTGCAAGACATGTTTCTGGGTTGAATGCCAAGTCAGGGGCCGATTCCTGATTGTTATTAGATGACATAGTAAATGGATATGGATCAATCTTCATACCGCTGCCAGGGCAATGTTCACAAGTTGCTCATCAGATACGCCAAAACGATTGCTCAGTTTGCTAATGACATCTTCGTATGCCTGCACCTTTGCGGACAAGCTTGCCAACTGTCTTTTTTTAGTTAATTAGAGGTGTCAGCTCTTGCGACAACACCAGTGCACCTTTATATTGACTCTTGCATACCGTTTAGACTTCTCCCTTTTACCATCGGTATAGCAGCAAATGATTCCAGCCTCGCGACAATTGCGGCATCCGGACTTGTCTCCGGTGCATTTTGTCTTCCGTTGTCTGCAAGACTCACATGCTCGTCGAACGTGTCGACGATGAAACCTACCAGGAGAGGTGAAGGCAGATTCGGCTCCTTCCGCTAGTCGTGGGATGGCCATTTTTTTGGTGCCCACTCCAGATTCACCTCGTTGAAGATGAGAAACGGGGTTATCCTGTAGATACTTTATTAGATAACACTTCTTGGCTTGGCTTGGAATAATCATGATTTCACACTTACCACACTAGACAACTGATTACACGTGTCTGAATCAGCACACGATAATTTGAAGAGGCTCTGTTGCTCATTCCACGAGGGAAATGGGATATTACTCATGGTGAACCACAAAAGATATGATGACTGAAGCTGTTCACTAAGTGTTAGTGGAATTTGTAACTACGTGATCTTCCCTCTTTTAACTTACTTGGATGAGTAAATCTGAGTCCAGGTAATGTGTAAGTCCCAAAGAGCTTTTGATATATATTGAAATGGCAATATCAGCACCTGCTTATTGCCGTCACATATGCCCAGTCAAATAGTCAATACAATGGTGTAACACGAAAAGGAAGATCATTGGGTTTTATAGAACACCCCAGGATTTGACCCACGAGAAGCATATATTCGGGGAAGGGGAAAGGGAAAAGGGCTCGGGTTTCGGGCACCGTTGGGAATAGTGAGCTGGTCAAGCCCGATAGATACTCTGCGATGACATCCAATGCTCGTTTAGGGTAATGAGTAAACGCGCACCATTGGCCACCCGTTCGCCAAATCAGGAATAGCTGTGTGTGGGTTTGCCTCAATCTCCTTGCAGGGCATGGGGCGAAAGTTCAACGTTTTCATGAGCAAAATCTCTTCTTTTGGTTATTGATCACGCTATTTGCCATCAACCAAACAGCCTATGTGGACTTTGATGGATCTGATTACTCCAGAGAGCCTGAAGTATTGGCTCAACCATCAGATTACCTCCCCCGGTGATCCATCTTTTTGACAGGCTCAGCTTTCGGTTGTTAGTACCGACTAGCTCTGGACTCCGATGTAGCGACCAAGGGTCGTGATATAGGATTTAAGTAAGAGGATGTAAGCTTCGGACCATGCAGAGTTTACAATGTGAACCTTCAGTGCTTCAGCCTCAGGGCTGTTCTTGAAACTCTGAATTGTGTGTTTTAAGGAGCTCATGAACAAACGTTGAACTTTCGCAGTCTTGAAGTAGCCATCTTTAACCATCAGTGAATAGTGAATAGTAAATAGTAAATAGTAAATAGTTCCCAGGTGGCCCAGACCTGAAGCTTCGAAGTCAATCTGACGTTAGACTGTGGCGGCACGGACATTGAAGTGGTTCGTCCCTGGTTGGCATTCAGTCCAAGACACCTCAATTCGGAAAGAGGATGATAAGCCCCAAGGGGGGAAAAGCTTGACGGCAATTCTCACCAAAGTCTCCCGTCTTGGTGTACCCCCGTCTTCATTGAGTTAATTTGAGACAAGCCCATAATCCTGACGTTCCATTACGTTCGGATGATTATAACCTTCCAAGGTTTAATTTGGTGGGCCAAATGGCCTTGTTTGTCAGGCCCTCAACCCTAGGTGACGACTGAGGATATACTATTGTAAGAACGAGGAAAAAGTTAAGAAAGATTCAAATCAGGCATTGGCTTAACACGATCTTGGAAGCAATTAAAGAACACCACAATCCGAACATCATTAGGAACTCTATACAGTAGCACTCCAAGCCCATTTTTACTCAATGAGGAAGTTTTCTGCAACACTTCGAACTTCCTTCGAGAACGCAACACCCTCACCCTCCATCTCTAGCAGGGAAACACTGTTGATGTCGACATCCACGAAAGGCTTGGTCTTGGTAAAGCGGACACTCATAGGGAAGAACTCATTCTCATCAGCATCAATAGCCTCGAACTCAAAGCTGCCAGAGGCGTTCGACTCATCAACAGCACCTAGGTTCCAGTCCAAACTGTCACCGGAGACCTCGTAGACCGCATCAAAGCTAGATACAGCAGGCTCTGTCGTGCCATATGGAATAGTGACAACGACATCGCGGAGACTGTCATCGCCGGTGAGCTCATACTCCACAGTCACGGTGGTGGAGTCAGAGCCCTTGTTAACCCAAACGGTGAATGTGATGGGGAGAATATCGGCATTATCAGCCGAGCTGGCAACGCGCCACCGGAGGACGCCGATGGAGTTATTGGCAGGGAAGCGCTTGGTAGTGTCCTTCAGTTGGATCACGGAAGAGTTGGTGAAGAGAGCTTTGTCGACATTGGGGTGGGTGCGGAACTGTGCGCCATGTGTGGGAACAGCCTGGCAGTCGAGTCGGAGTTTGGTGAGTGAGGGATCACTAATACGGAGCTGCATGTCACCCTTAACCTCGAAAGACTTCAGGGCTCCCTCGCGAGTAAGTGTGGCTGAGATGGTCTCGGCGATTGTGAGTTGGATGGGCTCCCGATCCGCGTTGAGAGACTCGCGGGCTGAGGGAATGTCGTGCACTGGAGTCGAAGCTTGTGGAGCTACCAATGGGCTCTCCTCTTCGATTTCGGGGCCCATATCACCACGGACCTTCTCGTAGATATCCGTTGCCTTTGATTTCTTGCCTAGTTGCATGCCCTTACCGCGAGTGGGAATAGGCCTAGTTATCATCTAGTCAGCAGTAGCCTCGAAACGGTTAAATCAGGAGTCAACCGAACGTACTTGGCGAAGGACTGTTTCTTCTCGGCCTCGTATGAATCATAAGTGTCGGGCACGGAGGGGCGCGCTGGGGGTGTGTAGACAGGGTAGGACGGAGTTCTTGGGGCGGCGGCACGACCTGTGCGAGCAGCCTCTTTACGTTGCATTTCCAGCTGCTTTGCTTTCCTCTTGCGCTCTTCGCTGGCCTCCAGCTCTTTGTTCTACCAATGTGTGTCAGCCATGAACTAATCTCGCCGGTGGTTTCACAACATACCCGCTCAATGATCTCCTGGATTCGCTCCTCGTGACTCTCCATTTCCAGGAAGGTCTTGATCTGTGAGAGAGAAAGATTCTCCCGGTATCCCATGGTCACCAATTCATCGAAAGCACTCAGGAGCTCAAATGCATTGCGAAGAATCTCCCGCTCGTCTAGGCTCTTGCAGATGCTGGTGGTGACTTGCGCAAAGAGATGGAGACTGTCGATGTCTTGGAGAATGTTCGATTGACGGTTGGTGATCAGCACAATATACAACTCGTCCAACGGCTGGTACACGAAGCGCACGTTGTCTTGCTCGACGGTGGTATGCTGGGTTCCGGAGTCTGCGAGCTTGGGGAAGGAGGCGAGAAGGGCTTCAATTCGGGACCTAGAGATCTCCCGGAACTGGCGCGAGAGGACCGCTTTACCTCCGCGGGTGCATATCGACGCTGCGAGAACGACCTGTTGTGTTGTGTATTAGTCCAATTCCCCCGCGAATTGGATTGAACAAGGGCTTACCATGGTGAGAAAACAGCACAAAAGGGGCAAACAAATGCCAATAAAAGAGTGATTAAAGAAAGGAGTATAGAAAAGGATAAAGAAGCGTAGGGTTGACTAGAAGCGTACGCCCTGGTGTTGATGGTTGGCAGCGGTAGGGAGCTACTCTGTTCACTTCGGCGGCGGTTGGCCCGTGCATTCCTTTCGCTTAGTCGTCGACCAGACACTTTCTCTTCACTTCATCTTTTTCCCACGCGTCGAATACACTTCACTCACACTTAGTTCATCGTTCTCTCGCTCTTACCCGTAGCCTTTTGCTCTAGGTATCGCTGAGGAACTTTTTTTCTTTCATTTTCAACCCTCATTTCAACCGCTCTTATGGAACGTCATTGCTGAACTTTCCAACACCACCCACGACCCCGGATCACATCTTTACGCGTTTTCTTGCTATGACAGCAGCTCCCTTGAGCGCATACCACATAATGGAAGTCCCAGCTACGGGTGATTCTATGGAGATGGCTTCGCCCTATCAAGGGCCGGCTGATGATTTTGACATCGATATCGACCTCATGGAGGACCATGTCTCGAACATGGACAGTGATATGATGGGCGCAGATGAATTTACAAGTACCTCTCAGCCTAACGAACTCAACAATGACGCGATCTACGATGCCGACATGGCCGATGAACCCTCCGAAGGGTCGATGATCGACGCTGACAACTACGCCGATGAAGACAACGATATTGACGTGCAATTTGAGGAAGAGCCATACGAAGAAGAAATGATTGAGACTGATGAGGCCGAAGCCGTCAATATTCCTGCCCCCGTCATTCATCTTGAACCTGCGGGCAGCAATGGAGACGCTACCAGCACCATCAAGGAGGATGCCACAGTCACAACTGCGGAACCCCTCGAAGCAGCAACTCAAGGCCCAAGTGGCTCTGTGGAATTTGCTCCAGTCCAAGATGAGGCTCAGGCTTCTGGAGTTGAGGGCCTAGACATGCAGGCCCAGCTAAACACGGTTGGTGATGATGGTCTTGCTGAGGAACCATCCGAAACAGTTATCAGTCCTGAAACCGGCGGTCATACTGAAAATTCAGAGCTTAGCGAAGAGGCTAATAAGATATCACAATCTGCTGTCTCAGAGACTGAGGTAACGCAAGTTCCCAACGAGGACCCGGAGACCAGTCAAATCAAACACTCAGCCGAGGATTCCCATGATGATGACGATGCGCACCTAGAGGCGCAGCCTGTGTCCGAGGGAAATCACTCGGTTGTAGGTGAGGATGCATCTCTCCAGCAGGTCACATACATAGATGAGCCTCTTCATCCAGTCAAAATTCTCTATCAGGACTGTGAAATCGCTCTGTTCCCTCCCCTTGAGGGAGACTTGGCGGATACCTTCTTTATTGAAGATGAAGCTTTAGCTTACGAAAATATTGGTCAAATATTCAAGGCGCTGCGCGAGGTGCTTCAAAAAACAATGGCAGGCAATGAGGTCCTGGTCATCGATATTGACACTCTTGGTATCCAAATGACAGAGGTAAATACCTTCTCAATTATCCCCCATCTGCAAACTTACTGACCTATCCTCTCAGGACTCATTCCACACGTCTCAGGTCACGTTGCATCAGATCCTAGATCTTTATGTTAGACTTTGTCGTAATGATGGCACGGCCGACCCCGATGCCCTTTATCTTACGCTAAGCACCAAGCGCGCATTCCCGGCTGAGATCGCAGATCTCAATGACGCTGCAATTGAAGGCAAGAAACTTTCCGAACTTCATTCCGAGCTTCATGCATGGGATGAATATGATGAAGCCGAGCCAGGTTCCGATGAGGATCTTGGCGCCCATGGGGCTGAGGAGCACGAAGACGAGGTCTACTACACCAATGAGGCTCAAAAAGAGCTTTCAATCACGGAAGTGCAAACGGCCCCAGGACCCGAAGAAGAGCAAGCGCTAGATGACGAACAGTCTCAAGTCCAGCCCGAAGATGTCCCTTCCGCTCAGCCGGAGTTTGTGCATGCGCAGGACGCGAATAGATCTACCTCTAGTGAGCGGAGTCCTGAGGCTGCACCTGTGTCTGAACCTCATCTAGCCCAACCCGAGAACGAAGAGGCAGACCACTCCGATGTGTCTCATCATATTGAAAGAGATCAAGAACACGATCATGACCGTGGCGATATCAACGAAGAGCACTATGATTCTGAGGGCCGGCAGAGTGATTCTACTGCCACGGTAGCTGCACTGCCTAGTGCAAGCGAGATCAAAGAGCATGTCCAGCATGTCCCTCTGGACGTTACTGCGGACGCCGGTACAGATCAAAACGATGACGAGAACTTTTATGGAGAGGAACTTGAGAACGATGATCTGGGAGCTGAGGAATACTATGAGCACGAAGACATCGGCTCGGTCGATGATTCAGAGGCTTTCCAAAAAGATATCACTGGCAGTGAAAATATTGATTTTGATGCTCAGGAGCCAGCTGATCAAACGTCTGTCCTTGATGAAGAGGATGCAGATGAATTAGATGCCCCGCCAACAGACGAAGTTGTCTCGGAAATTATCCTACAGGATGAAAACAACCACCCTTCCCATGACCAGCCGGCACCGCCGCTTGGCAGCGGCTTGAATGACGCCTCCGACAAGAAGGAGCAAACACCAGAGCCTGCAGATGATTTACTTGGAATTGCTGTAGACCTGATGCAGACTCCCCCAAAAGACATAGAGGACGATGCCCTTGATCATTTCGAGGGCATAGACTACAACGAGCCTGAGGATGAACTCGATGCTCCTGTTGCAGCTGATGATGAGAGTGCTGATGACCACGAGTTTGATGAGAACCATTTTGGCGACTATGACACCCATTTTGAAGAATCGGAGGCTGTAGAGCTGGTTGGAACAGACCCTTCCTTGACAGATCCCCAAACCAACCAGAGCTCGTCTGCCAAACGGTCTCGCGAAGATGAAGACGACTGGGATCTGGTGGAAACCACAGTTGACACCAAACGTCGCCGCTCTTCGTAAACCATGTTCCTACTTTTTTTTACCCCTGGGCCTTTTTCTGCAATCTCTATCATTCGTCATGATTGGTGTCCAGCGAGTCTGACCCTTGATGGCTCGTTCCACGCAACACATTACCTCCAACATACTAATCATCATACTTGCCAGCAACGACCTCGACCGATGGACACAGTGTCTCGTTCGACTACTAACAAAACACAGGTATGTTCGACCCCTTCCCTCAGCATGCGCACGCCTTCAAGTTCCTTGGGGCATGCGCTTTCTCCTTTTCCATCCCGCATCTGGATCAAACCCTGGGTTCTCCTGACACATCATTCGACTACCCATCATCTATTCTTGCGTTTTCTTCTTATTTTGTCCTTCTACTCTTCCCCTGCCATTGCGATTCAAGATACCACTGCCGGTTTTCGGCCCAAAATCTTTGTTCGGTGTTGATGGGTGCCCGTTTGGGCTGCGTGTTTTTCAATGCATTTCCCTTAGGATCTGGCGTATCGGCGGAATGGGTTAGTCCACGTGTTTGTAGTATTCTACCAATGAATCTTTACCCCACATGATTTTCAGATGTATGCTTTCTAAGTATTTCCAAAACATGTCCCAGCTTCTGATTGTCAACTTGTACAAATTTAGAAAAATCGGTATATCTGATCCCATCCCCCCAGATTTGAAATGTTTTAACTGCCTAATTTCGCTTATATTATGGGGCACAAAGGAGAAACATTCCGGGGATGGCGGGGATCAGGATATTGTAGAATAGATAGATGTATGCTTTGCAGATACATACATGTAATAGTTCGGTATAAGTATAATGGTCCTAAATATGTATTTCTCAATTCCATACGGGGTATTTATTTTGTATTCATTTTCAGCCACGCAAGATAATGTTATGCAGTGGATCCAAATTGGAGTCTCTGGGGATTCCAGACTAAGTATAGAAACCCACGCCGCATTCGGAGGGAGCTGAAACACCGGTCTTGGCCTCATTTCAGGGTCCATTTGGCTTTTGTTTTAATAAGAGAGACCAATAGTAGTACTCTGTACTCTGTACCTTTCAGACAAGTATCCATAACTATGAATACAATATACATACAAAGTACCCCGTAGTGTTGTGTACATTGGATGTACATAGTTAGTACTCCGTACAACATACTTGGATGTAAATAATGCATAAAATACTAATACAGGAGTTGGGGCCACCTATTCTATTTCAAGCTCTACATATTATCTATGCATATTCATATAAAACCTAATAATAACTAAAGGAATCCAATTAAAATTAAAATTACCTAAAGCATCCCCAAACCACCTCGGTACTTGGAAGCCTCCCACGCCTCCCAAGCCCTCTTAGCCCCGTTGTTCTCTTACGCGTCCCCCGATCGGGCTTGAAACGGAACCCCACCGCACGCAGGCACATCACTCTCTGGTCTCTCTGGCTTCTGGCTTCTGGCCATTTACCTATCTTCCAAGCTCCCTCTCATCCTCCTTACTCATCAGAAATCTCGGGCTGGCTCGTTTTTCTGTTTTGTCCTTCGCTCCCTTTGTTTTCCCCTAGTCCTTAAGCCCCCATATTACCACGACCCCTTCCTTCGCTCACCCGAGTCTCTCGATCATTCTCCGATCTATTACCGGCACTGGAGGTCTTTCGACAGTAGGAGCTCCCGGCTCCTAAGATAGGAATCACGTCAAAATGCTTCCAGATAAGTATGGCTCTCCCAACTCCCTCCCGAATTGGCCCCCCGAGGGCAAGCTGGTCGGCGCTGACATGGTTGCGCACTGCGCCCTTATAGATATGTCGGGCTCATTTTAGCCATTGTATCCACCATGGCCATCGGTACGAGTTTTGTTATCACCAAAAAGGTTGGTGTGCCACAAATTTTCCCGGGAAATGGGCGCTTAGATTCCGGGTGCGCTTGACAAACACCGCGGCGATTCGGGTCAAAGCGATCATCATCGGAGCAGAGCCGCTAATGCGTCTGAATACAGGGCTTGATGCACGCCTGCGAACGACATGGGTTTGAGGGCGAAGGATTCTCATACCTGAAGAGTCCTGTATGGTGGGGTGGTATAGTGACACGTACGAAAACTAATTGCTAGACTTGACATTTAGAGATGCTGACAGGCTCATAGTGGCCCTTGGTGAAGTCGCCAACTTTGCTGCGTACGCCTTTGCGCCTGCAATCCTAGTTACGCCACTAGGTGCGCTGAGTGTTCTGATCGGGTAGGCATCCCTTCCTTAATGACATGTATAATCTCAGCTGACATGACACAGTGCGGTCCTGAGTTCCTACTTCCTCAACGAGATACTTGGTGTGTTAGGAAAATTGGGCTGTGCGCTGTGCTTGCTGGGATCGGTTGTCATTGTTCTCCATGCGCCTCCAGACAAGCAGGTGGAGACAGTCGATGAGATTCTTGGATACGCGGTTCAGCCAGGTACGAAGACTTGATCAGCGTCCGGTCCCCGAAAACCACCGCTGACTTTGCGACTAGGTTTCCTTTTCTACTGTGTCGCAGTTGCGGTCTTCTCGACTCTGATGATCTACCGGGTTGCGCCCGTCTATGGAAAAAAGAACCCGCTCGTTTACATCTCGATTTGTTCCACCGTTGGATCGGTTTCCGTCATGTCCGTCAAGGCCTTTGGTATTGCAGTGAAATTGACCATTGGTGGCAACAACCAATTCGTCCACGCATCCACCTACGTCTTTGCCATTGTGACTGGATTTTGCATTCTGACGCAGATGAATTACTTCAACAAAGCATTGAACTCTTTCTCGACTTCGATGTGAGTGTAAACATTGATCAATATGAAGATAGGAGGCTAACATGATTCTTTTCAACAGCGTGAACCCACTTTACTATGTTACCTTCACGACCGCGACCCTCTGCGCCTCCTTCATCCTTTTCAAGGGATTCAATACCACCGACGCCGTCAACACCATATCTCTACTCTGTGGATTCCTTATCATTTTCACCGGGGTGTACCTTCTGAACCTTTCCCGACATGACCCTGATGGACACACCATGGTAAATTCAAAACTTGACGAGGACGGAGTGCCAACAGACGGTATGGCAAGCTTCCAGACCCGTCGTTCGATGCAGTCCCGCCGAAGCTCCTCGAGCGCATATTTCAATGGAAACAGCGACCGCGAAGGCCTCATCCACGCATATGATGTGGAGAATGGGATCGGCATGGACATCTTGACCGAAGCAAGTGATGGGGAGCCAGGTCCGACTTTCCCACAGACCGAAACACAGACTGCAGTGCACACCAAGCGGAACAGTCAGCTCTGATCGCGGGTGTCTCAAGGTCTGATTCCAACCCTCGCCTTATAACAAGGTCTTTGAAATGATTCTCCTTCCTCTCTACACACTCGACTGCAAGCTTCCCTTCCACGGGCTTGATCTCCACTTGTATTTTTACTGTTCCCCGAAAATGCCAGAGTTGCATTGAACTCGGGCGAACTCATCAGGCACTGGACATGCCTGTATGAACGACTGAATATGACTCTGGGTTTCTCTGGATGGTTGGGATTTGATGTCTTTTTTTTCTATTTTCATTTCCATTTTTTTTTCTTTATCGGTGATCTGGCGTGGCGAGAGGCTTGTATATAGTTCAAGTTGGATTTCTGCAGAATAGACTGGCGATGTATCTGGGTGGGGCTGGGCCGATGATGTATTTGCAGGTCAGCTGTTTATGGAACATGCCCATCCGAGATTCTTGCTTTTTCCATTTCTACATCTTTAAACTTCTCTATTAGATGGTTTTGGGTAGTACCTTTGAAGGGGGCATATAGACGTCATTGGAAGGGCAGCTGTGTGATCTTGGCTCCCTTCGAACGCGGGGAACTTGCGCGATGCCCGCTTTATTGCGCAAATTGGCCATCGTTGCCGCAGTGGACGGCCTGATCCTACATCCCCAGGCTAGCGGGCCACGCCATACCGCTGGTAGCAGCAATGAGGCCTCATCCATCCGTATCGACTATAAGACGAACAAAATCACCGTGTTGCCCGCTGGCGCCTCGGAGCCTCTCAACGGAAAGGACGCCCTAGAGGCCCACGGTCTTATAGGTAGGTTGACGAACTGAGTGAAATTGAAACAACAAACTAATTTCAAAGCGTTGTTGCTGCAGGTCTCTTATCTGTCGCTTCATACTCATTTCTCGTTTCCATCACACAGCGTCAGCAAGTAGCGCAGATCCGAGGCTGCCCGATCTACGCCGTAACCAACGTCGCGATTATTCCGGTCTCATCCCAAGCAGATGCTTCCCGCGCGATCACACAAGCCAAGAAAGAATCCTCGCAGGAGGAAGTCACCATCGAAGCGTCCTCCGACGAAGATGACCTCCCTGATAACGAGACCGACAGAGACGAGGCGGAGGCGGAGATCGGCAGCCTGCCCGCATCACCTACTCGCGACACATATCATGCCCGCGGAACTAGCGTTGGCAGTATCGCAGAAGATGTGATTGCAAAGAAAGTCCGCTTCGGCAGATTTGCAGCCAATTGGCTCTCGCGTAAAAACCTGGGCTTGCCCAGGCCCGGAGCTCTAGAGCAGGATATGCCAGAGTCTCCGTTGGACGAAGCTTCCAGTCCTCCGGTCGATGCTAGTGAAACTAAGCATGAAGCAANTTTGCAGCCAATTGGCTCTCGCGTAAAAACCTGGGCTTGCCCAGGCCCGGAGCTCTAGAGCAGGATATGCCAGAGTCTCCGTTGGACGAAGCTTCCAGTCCTCCGGTCGATGCTAGTGAAACTAAGCATGAAGCTGTAGATGACGCTCTTTCCGAAGATACCGGGGCCCAGAGCGAGCCTGATCGGCCTAAATCTGACCAGACTGCGGAGTTGCTACCGAAACTGCTTCGCTATACGAAACTCTTGTTCGCCTCGCATAATTTTTTCTTTGCGTATGATTATGACCTTACGCGCTCTTTACATACGCAGGAAGCTCGGAAGGATCAGCTTCCGCTCCACAAAGTTGTGGACCCATTGGTATGTGCGACCTAAGGGCTCGCAGTATGTTTTCCGTGAAGATTTGCTTGCTGACTCGTTAGCAGTATTTTTGGAATAGGCATCTGATGAACAAATTCATTGACCATGGGACACATGGCTTTGTTCTGCCATTGATTCAAGGCTTTGTCGGCCAACGAGAGTTCACAATCGCTGGTGCTGAAAGGAAACAACCTTCGAAGGACTCAGTGGAACTCGCGGATGGCCGAATCCTTGGTGAAAAACACGAGGCTGAAGCTGTTGAGACTAACGCCAGCAAGCGTGATTATCTTTTGACTCTCATTTCTCGACGTTCTGTCAAGCGACCAGGACTCCGTTACCTGCGCCGTGGTGTCGATGATGAGGGGAATACAGCCAACACAGTCGAAACCGAGCAGATTCTTTCGGTTCCGGAGTGGACTCCATCTCACCCTGCCTACTCATATCTGCAAGTCCGAGGTTCCATTCCTCTTTACTTCTCGCAGTCCCCATATGCATTGAAGCCAGTTCCAGTTCTCCATCACTCCGCCGATACGAATCTCCTTGCCTTCGGTAGACATTTCCGAGAGTTCAGTCGACGGTATGGAAATATCCAGGCTGTTTCTCTTATTGACAAGCTGGCTGGTGAATTGAAGCTAGGAGAACAATATGAGCGATACACCGAATCATTTAATGCTGCCGGTGGGATCGATGGTAAGCCGTTGCAACTTGAGTGGTTTGACTTCCACCACGAGTGCCGGGGCATGAAGTTTGAAAATGTATCTCGCCTGGTCGACCGACTGAAAGATACATTGAATGACTTCTGTTACACCATCGTCACAGACAACGACATCATACAGACCCAAAAGGGTATCATCAGAACCAATTGCATGGATTGTCTCGATCGCACTGGTGTTGCCCAGTGTGCATTCGGCCAATGGGCCCTAGAGCGTCAACTGGAACATGAAGGCATTGACATTGATATTGGTGGTGACTCTTCCACCCAATGGTTCAATACGCTCTGGGCAGACAACGGCGATGCCATCTCCAAGCAATATTCATCAACGGCAGCCCTGAAGGGGGATTACACCCGTACACGCAAGCGAGACTATAGAGGCGCCCTCAATGACTTGGGACTGACACTCTCGCGCTACTACAACAACATCGTAAATGACTTCTTCTCTCAAGCCTGCATCGACTACCTCCTCGGCAACGTCTCAACTCACGTCTTCGACGAGTTCGCCATCCAACTCCAGACTACTGATCCAGGAATCTCAGTCCAAAAGCTCCGCCAGAACGCCATTGACACAAGCTGCAAGATAGTTATCAGTAGCCCCTCTGAAGAGTTCCTAGGCGGCTGGACCATGTTGACGCCCCGCCAACCCAACACCCTTCGCACTCTACCCTTTGAGGAATCAGTCCTCCTCCTAACCGACGCCGCAGTCTACAGCTGTCGCTTCGACTGGGAGACTGACAAAGTGCTGTCCTTTGAGCGCATCGACCTCCGATCCATCTCGCGCATCCACTACGGTACATACATCACATCCATATTGACAGATAGCCAAGCCAACGAGGCGACCAACGTCGGTCTCGTCATAGTCTACCGTGACGGCGACACAAACACCCTCCGTGTTAATACCCGATCCCTGCAGAGTGATGTCGACCTCAGCACGCTCGAGACTACCGCTAGCGCCAATAGTGAATGGGACCTCGTATCCTGGCTGCGGGGTAGCAAGCCTACGACGACACGATTCGTCGCATTCAAGGGCCTGCCGCTGTCGAACCCGGTGGCTAGTCCACGGCTTGGGCCTAGCACTGGGGCTGTTCGGGAGATGGATCGGGTTCGCTCGGTCTGTTTGGATATAGAGCGGGCGATGCTTGCGGGTCAGGGTCGAAATGTAGAGGCGGTCTCTGTGGTTGAACAGTCTGATATCATCTCTTTGGCAGATGCCAAGAAAAGGACTGGGTGGTTGGAATATCTGGTTTATGATCTTAAGAAGATGGTTTGGGCGTGATTGCACCTGTAATAGTGAGGTGAGTTGCGAGATTGCTTGCACTTATTCCTCTTTCGTTTACATAGCTTTCACTCTCAGGTTATCGCTTGGCTCTTAAGTCACTCACAATTTTTGAGGAGTCTTTTTGCATAGTTATGTTCCTTGGCATAATGTTGGTATGTACTATTAGGTGTCTTTCCTAACTGTCACCATCTTGAAAGGGGACTGGTCCGGGATTCACATATATGATCAATAGAACGGATAAAGTGGAATGCTTTCCAGGGAATTCAAGTGTAGAAAGACATCATAGTTAAGTATCTTCGAGAGAGACATTGAAACTGATAGTGTTCTATCACAAGGTACCCGTGGACCCGTGGACTGCTGACTGGTAAAGCCGCTATTAGCGAGATAAACTGATCGCTAAAGATCGGAGATACCAAGTCACTCTGATGTACATTTGGTATCTTTTTGCGGTGCTGCCCCCGCGAATTCTTTCCATCGTGACTTTTTCTCTACTTGTCCCCAACTTCAAATTCAACTTCACTCAACTGTCAAACCCATCCACTCCCATTCTCAGGAGGCATATATTTTTTAGATAAATATATTGTGAAATGCAGCCTATCTTTTATTCGCATATCCGCCTTCTTGGACTTCTACTCCCAATAGACTGACCGCCTACCATCTTCAGCAGTCCCTTTTTTCTGCCCACAGCACATACACCCCTCAGTCTGAGGTCGTCTCCGACAACTTTATTTGATTCTGACCTTGATGCAAATTCGCTTTAGCCAATTACTTCCAGTCTCATTTCTGGATCTGCCTTAGCGGATCGGAGATTTCGGCCTTGCTTCCTTGATCTGGGGAAACGAAGGGGGCCCGTTCCCACATTTTCGGCGGGGCTCCTGTGCTACTCGCACTTTCGACTTACCTCTGTCGCATCGAGTCTCTTCACTAAGACAAGATGAATTGGCAACCTCAGCAAGAGCCATTGAGGCAGCTGGCTCGCTACCTTCGCGATTCGCTTAATGGAGCTAATCTTCCAGCACGAGCAGAGGCTGAACAGGTAATGTCTTGGCCTTTTTTTTCAATCCTATTGAGCTTCCTCTTGACTGCGGTCGCCGCACATACACTACCCCAAGATGAAAACTAACCGTGGATTTTTTTTTGTTAATAGATGCTCGCACAAGCGACCTCTTCTCCTGATTACGTCAATTACATCACCTACATCTTTTCCAGTCCGCAAGCTGCCCCCCTGGCAGGAATTAACGAGAATGAATACCCTACTGTTCGATTTGCCGCCGCCGTAAACGTCAAGACGAAGATTGCCCTTGCTTATAGCACGATCTCCCCTCAAAGCTTGGCGTTCATCAAATCCGCGGCTCTGGTTACACTACGCGACACTGACCGCAATGTCTCGAGAGCTGCCGGTAACATTATCACCGCAATGGTGCTTCATGGAGGCCTCTTGGCCTGGCCTGAGATTGTCAATGAGCTGTTGACTACTGTCGCTAATGCCAGCGGGGATGTCCCCATGCCGGCTAGGGAAGCTGCAATGGATACATTGTGCAAGGTCTGTGAGGACAACCGCAAGGTTCTAGACCGTGATTATCAGGGCCAACGTCCTCTGGATATCATCATCCCCAGCTTGCTGCAATTCATTTCGGTCGAAAGCTCGCGCATCCGGATTGCTTCTCTCAACGCCATCCACGTTTTCTTGCCATTCAAACCCCAGGCATTGATAGACTCGCTCGACCAATTTCTTTCGCAATTGTTCAGAATTGCCGGTGATGAAAACACCAGAGTCCGACAAATGGTGTGCCAGTCGTTCTCGCAACTCGTGGAGACTGCGCCGGAAAAGCTGGCCCCGCATATGGAAGGATTGGTAAACTACATCATTATGCAGCAACAATCCCAGGATGACCCAGAGCTTGCACTTGACGCCGCCGAGTTTTGGATTGGTGCTGGAGAGCAGGAGCGATTGCAGGCCGAATTGGCTCCATACATGCACAAGATCATCCCGGTTCTTCTGCAAAACATGATCTATGACGAGGAGGAAGTGGCTCGGCTGATGGACGAGCAAGACGACGCCGACGCCGAGGACCGTGCTGAGGATCTAAAGCCACAGTTTGCCAAATCGAAGGGTGATCGTCTGAACATGTCTAAGCCAGGCGAACAACCGGATTCCTCCCACGCCCTCGAGCAACAGACAGATGAGGGCGAGGATGACTTGAGCGAAGGTGAAATTGAGGACTCGGAATTCGGAGATGACCCCTCGGGTAATTGGACTTTGCGCAAGTGCTCTGCTGCTGCGCTCGATGTTTTCTCCACGGTTTACCACCGTCCTGTCTTTGAAATCCTTCTGCCGTATCTGATGGAAACTCTGCGCCATGAGCAGTGGCCGAACCGAGAGGCCGCTGTTCTTACACTGGGTGCAGTCGCGGATGGCTGTATGGATGCTATCACTCCTCATCTCCCAGAATTGGTCCCTTACCTCATCTCACTCCTCAATGATGACCAGCCTGTTGTGCGGCAGATCACTTGCTGGTGTTTGGCCCGTTATTCGGGTTGGGCAGCCCATCTCCGCGACCCAGCTCAGAAAGCCCAATTCTTTGAGCCCATGATGGAAGGTATCCTTCATCGCATGTTGGACAATAACAAGAAGGTTCAAGAAGCTGCTGCCTCAGCGTTCGCCAGCCTGGAGGAGAAGTCAGAGGATAACTTGGCGCCCTACTGTGAGCCTATCTTGCGCCAGTTTGTGGCGTGCTTCAATAAGTACAAGGACCGAAACATGTACATTCTTTATGATTGCGTGCAGACGCTCGCTGAATGTGTTATGAGCGAGCTAGCGAGGCCGCATCTAATCGAGATCTTGATGCCTGCTCTCATCGGTCGCTATAACTACATTTCTGATGATTCCCGAGAACTCTTTCCGTTGCTTGAATGCCTCGGATACATATCTGCAGCCTATGGCGATGCATTTGCCCAATTCGCGCCCCCTCTCTTCGGTCGCTGCATGAAGATCATCTACGGAAACTTGCAAGCTTCTATCCAACCAACACACGCCGCGGCTGATGAGCCGGACAAGGACTTCCTTGTTACTAGCATTGACCTTCTCAGTGCAATCATTCAAGCCATCGACCCACAAAAGAGCGGCGAGCTCGTGAGTACTTCACAGCCGTCTTTCTTCGAGCTCCTCCGCTACTGTATGGAGGATGAAAACTATGAAGTCCGTCAATCAACATACGCTTTACTGGGAGATTGTGCCATAAGCATATTCCCTCACTTGGAGCCCTTCCTCCCCACCCTCGCTCCGGTTTTGATTAAGCAGCTTGACTTGGACCTGATCCGCGATGACGATCGTCATACCGGCTTCAGTGTTTTGAACAACGCCTGTTGGTCGTGCGGCGAGATCGCCGTCCACGAAAATGCCGCGCTTTCGCCCTATGCGGAGCAACTGTACCAAGGGCTCTTTACGATTATCACTAACGAGGAAATCATCGATTCGGTGAACGAAAATGCCGCGATGGCGTTGGGGCGACTGGGATTCTGCTGTGCGGACCAGATTGCGCCTCATTTGAGCGAGTGTTCCGGACCTTTCCTGAAGTCAATGGACAAGATTGATTTCACGCGTGAAAAGGCTTCCGCCTTCCTCGGATTCAACCAGGTGGTGATGAAGAACCCGCATGCCATGGAGTCGAGCCTGCTCGACTACTTCCAGGCAATTGCCTCGTTCCCCGCCCGCTCACTGGCACAGGAAGAGTACCGGGATATCCAGGTATCATTCCAGCAGGTAAGATCAATTTCCCTTGGTTATCGGGTAACATCCCACTAATCAGAATATATAAATATAGGTCCTCCAGGGATATAAGACATTGATCCCTGAGTTTAGCAACTTCCTTGGCCAGCTACCCCCGACCGTGGCTCAGACACTGCGCACTGTGTACCAGGTATAAGTAGGGAACCTGGTGATCTCTGCTTAGACCTCGGTCACCGGGGTGTGATGTTTTTTCCTGTCTCAAATCCTGCGGGAGTTAGGTTGGAGGGGAGGAAGGCGAGGGGTCCCTGGGGGGATCAGTACATAGGGGTCAGCGGCCGGAATTTCACGTTAATAGAAAGAGGAGGGAGAAAGGGGGGCAAAATCATGGGAAGGAGCATCTGCGATTTAGCTGTTTTTTTACGTTACATCTCATGATTGCAACATGGGCACGCATGACCCTTTATGATTCCTATTTTGTTGACTCTGCTTTACTTCTCCATTCTTATCTTGCATTTATTGTGCATAGTCTTCATCAAGTCAGGGCTAGCTAGGTTGCTTGCTTTTTTTTCGTCTTCTCAGCGCTGGTTTGGGGGGTTTTTACGTGGCATATTCATATCCCCTTTAGATAGATACCTAGATAGATAGATCTTCCTCGTCAATGAAGATCTCAAACAACATTTTCAAAAGCCTGGGGTGTAGAGTTTTGAGATCGTTTGGGTAGTATCTTGTTGAGGCGTTCTTTTTAGCGCCTTCCTAGGTATCTCCTTCCACTATATTCGGGGTTTGTATAGTACGAAAGAGATGAAACATGCTGTCCCACTGGCTACAATCAATGTTTTTTAGGGGTTAAGATTGTAAGAATTGCTACCAAGTATCATTGGGGATTATCAGGGTTGTCCTTGATGGGCTTTAGGTCGTTTCATTCGCATCGCTGTTCACCCTATCCGTTGGCCTTGTATAGACCAAATTGCTACCGACAGCGAAATACAACCATTTACCTAATTGTTTCTACTTTAGTAACCCTTTATTTCTCTAGGAGAAAGCAAAACCAGACAAGATGATCGTGTGCTAGTGTCAGCGTATGTCACGCCTATTCGGACATATCTCCCTGACGTCTGTCTGTGCACAAACTCCCTAAGCACCCCCTAGCCGGGAAACCAATATCAAATACCAAGATCGACTCGTGAAGCATTGAACCAGTATAACATAGTGGATGGGGAAAAAGTAAGGCAAGATTAAGATCAGCAGGGCTTTTGCAATCTCCGAATAGGTGCAGATTTATTTTTGGATCGACGATACGGTGTACAAACAGCATGCATGCTAAGTACTCCATAGTCACCTGCCATTAATAACCTAGTAGCAGATGCATGCATATCACTTACATCACCAAACCACATGGAAGAATCAAGGATCACATCTTCGGACTCTCCGCTAACCATCATAAACAATCAAAGCCATAAGCTCCACACACCGGGGTAACGGAAAGAGAAATAGAAACAGAACTAGTAAGATAAGCCCAATTAAGCAAACTCCCGGCTCTCGCCTAACTGGCGCGTTATAATTAACTCGTCGGCACCGAAAGCCCCTAGCCAACGCCCAGTCCCCCCACCGATTGGCCGCTCAGACAAAAACCGCCCGAAATACCAAGACGCGAGCCTTTCCCTTAACTACTTTTTTTCACGAACCCGGGCGCAATATCATATATCCTATCGGCCCCACCCTATCTCACCCAGTGATTAAAATGCCATGTGTCGATGACAGGTGCTGATGCAGGGTACAATGTACCTACAGGTAGCGTACCGGGCGCCTGGTTCTTAGTGCTACGTAGTGCGCCATTAGAGGCCCCAAGACGTGCCCTGGGCTAGTGTCTTTTCGCTTTTCGCTTTTCACTCTAGAGGACCCGGGCTATGCCTTTTGCGGCTTGCAGAGATAGGATGACCGGGGCTATTGTGGACTTTTGCCCTGGTGGATTTGAAGACTGATTCAGTGTCTGGTTGTTCTTTTGCTCTTTCGGTCAGGACTCCGGGTTTCGAGGTCAGGGGGTGATTGATGCTCTGCCCTAAACAGGTAGCTTACGAACTGGGCTTTCTTTCGCGTTTTACATATAGTGCTCTCGGAGCTTTTGCTTTGATGAACTTTGCCCTCCGGAGTTTATTTTCAGCCTCAGCTGTACGGAGTAGTGTTCTGTGATCCTCTTGGCTCAGACCTCTGACCGACTTGCATTGTGGATATTAGGAAGGCTGACACTTCCAGGGAAATGATAGGAAACTAAATAATGAATCAATGGTTTTATTTCCTTCTCCATTTCACAATTTGAGATGTATGAGATAGGAAACAGGAAGCATTGACCCTCGTGCCACTAGAAACATTCCATGAAACTCATATTACCATCCACGTTTTTAATGCAATCTCCCAGATTCACCTTGCTCTCTTGAATATTTCCTTCGCCATCATCGATTTGCGCAGAAAGCATAGGCTCGTTGTCGGGGCCTTCTAGCTTGAAATTAACATTGCGCGAACTTTTGGAGAAGTCGTGGGAGCCCCAGGCCAATTGCCCTAGATTGCAATGATGATGTTAATTTTGGGTCAAATATGGAAGGAGAGAATTTAGATTGTTCTTACCCTTGTTTACCCCAATAAACTCATTCAGATCTAGCTCTGAATATTTAGATTCCCCGGATTCTCGCTGGCAGTAAGCAGTGAGGATGTGCTTATCCTTGATGTTGATGCCCTTGGATGATCTGTGGAAGCCCATCTTGGCGTGTTGGGCTGGAGTAATATCAGGCGCAGTGGATCACGGCACTTATTGTTCAACCTCGTGGGGTATGAATGAATTGACCAATGAGAAATCCGGTAGGATGGGTGTTGTATATGCAAGTTGTCCGTTGTCCGTTGTCTGTTGTCCCGGCACACAAGAACAGTCAGGATGTACAGTGCTGCATTATGAGAAAGAGAGCAAGAGAAGAAGCAAATAGAGAGTGAGGCTCCTGATATGGATGAATGTCTAGTATAGAGTCGTTGCCTTTCATGACATCGATATGGTGTAGATATCTACTGTGGCCATTTAAAATCGGGGAGGCGGGTGGCTCTGCCATCATGGTTTTCTCATTATGACACCCGGGATAGGACTTGACTGTATACAGCACACCCATGTGAGATATGCGGGGGAATTCAAGATTCCTTGCTGGACTGCTAGGCGGTCTGTCTAAAATCGAGTGCGATCTTTACAAGTGAAAGGTCATAATGATCTCATGCACAAGTGCCGTCAGCCTCACATCCACACGTATCAAGTGTCGGGCATTAGTCTCAGCAGTCGGGCAATAAGTATCACCAAGATGATATGGCGGTGGCTTGGGAAACAGAGTTGACGCTAAGGAGTCTATTCGGGAAGGACGGTTGAACCATACCTCCAGGGTTAGTCCATGGTAGGTACTAGGTAGGGAGTACCGAGTACAGAGTACAGAGAATCAAGATTCCCGTCGATCTTCTCTGTTTCCCATGACTATGTCTTCTTTCTCAAATAATAAACTTTCCATTTTTAAATCTAGGCATTAAACTTCGTGACTCTTTAAGAGCTGAGCTTTATACATCCAAAGTCTCTTAGATTGCAGTGCAGCGAGATATGTAATTAGATGTGTGAATGTGTCAATACGTCAAATATGTACAGTATTCTTTCCAGATGACCTACAAGCTACAAAATAACAGCCTCGCAAACCATTAGGCCAGCAATAGTGTAGTTCATAGGTGTATGATCTACAAAAGAAAATCACAGTCCCCACACAAGGTCCAGGATAGCCTAAGTCTTGGCGGAATAGAGTTGGTTAGCGTACTGCACTCCCACGGGCTGTGTTTCTGAATTAGCGGTAGAACTGGGGGACTCCATGATTCTTATTTCTCTTTTGGTTGGAGCACTTGGGTTCCGAGGTCGCTGGATCGATCTGCTTACCCATGGCTGACAGTTTCAAGATCACGGGGCAATAGTATTGCTATATATTTGAAGCTGGACTAGAAGGAAAGCGTACCCCGCGGAGGTAGACGAGTAAAACTATATAATACCAAGCATCTCCCGTCAATTCCGGCGATATCCTGACGCAAAAAGGCTAGACCCAAAACAAAAAAGAATAAAAGAATAAAGTTGATCAGAGGGAATAAAAAAGAAAAAGAAAAAGAAAAAGAAAAAAAAGAAAAAAGGAAAGGAAAGGACATTTGGCCCCCAATCTATACCACGTTTGGCCTGATGTTGCGACAAGCGAGACTCATCGTTGCTGATTGGACACTTCTGGTTTTGTGTTCCTTCACATCTGCGGAGAAAATAGCGTCGCCCGAACATTTCCGGTGACCCGCACAGCATTCCCTCTTGGGTCATGGGATATTCAAAAGCCAAGCCTCAGATGGCCTTGAAAGGGAGGCAGCGTATTCGGCTCTGAAACACCCAGTCAAACATATCAAACGTGTCAAACACGGCATATTTCAAAGGTTCCAGTCAAAGATTGGGGAGCATGATGATATAATCATAATCTCTGTGCAACTATGGTGCCACGTGTGGCGAGCTAAATCATCCTTTTAGAGTAATCATCGTCATGACTGCAGTCGTAAATATGGTAGGACAGAAGGTCCCGTCCAGATCAGAAGGTGGCACACACCGACTTTAGACACACGTCTTGTTCCACGTCTGATCCCCAGAAAACGTGGCCTCCAGGCCCAATTTGGCCGTGTCACATAAATCTGCATATTACACTTGTACAGTTTCAGGGGAGTCACCTCTAGATTCGGAGGTAGATATACAACATACATCCATACTCACAGATGCTGACTTGGGCTTAAATTACATTGGGCTAGAGTGCATGATGCTATTCCAAGCGAATGGCCCTTTTGCCTTTCAACAATCCTACCGTTCTGTGTTGAACTCAACCCCCTAGACATTGCAGGAATGAGCCCATTCCACGAAGCACACTGGCCCCTCCCATTTTTTTTCCTTCTTGATGATCATTCTGAATAGATGCTGAAATTGATCAACTCCCTCTAATCCCTATACACCTGGAAGACTAGACCATTAGGGGTTCATTTCCCACTTCGGGCTTATTGGCGTCGTACACTTTCAGGCTCACCAGACATGGTTTCCCTACGTTCCAGCCCAGTGGTAACTTCACCGGAGAAGGAGATAGGGTGCTTCCGACCTGGGGCAACGATCGCAATAGGTCGGCCACTGTCGGGTGCCAGGATAAGGGATGCGCAGAAGGAAAAACAGAGAGAAATTGATATGTGGGTGCGGTGATCCCGAGAGATTGGTCTTACACCCCCTGGTTACAGATTAAACGTTCACATGTTGCCTCCAATAATCCTCAGTTTCTCTCAGTGGTGTAAGAGTCTGGGATTCTTTTCTTTTCTTTTCTTTTCTTTCTTTTCTTTCTCTCAATATCTATGTTGTAGTTGACTATCTTCCGTGGAGTTCAACATTCGGTTGTGATTACCGAGTTCAGCGTTTAATCTCCCATCTGACTCACAGGCGGGTAGAAACGGCCGACTTCCGCCTGTCAGGCTAAGCTTGAATCTTAGCGAGAGTGGAAGAGCAAGAGAGCCACTCCCAGTACGCCGCGAATGGTGTCTAGGATAGCCCAAGGATTGACTCTTCTTCTTTCCCAACGGGGCTAACGGTGTCCCTTGACAGCGACCCACAATCCAGGGTCCGCCGGATCGAAAAGCCTTGCGAGGCAAAAAGGTCGATCGGGTACTATATTTCCCTAGATTATTGTTCTATATTCAATCATTTTAAATGAAGTCTGGGGTTTGTTCGTAGGCCCCTGCGTATATACATACTCTTGGCTGGAACTATGTTCCCTGGAACGCGGGATGAGATTTAGGAAATGGAAATAAAAAAGAAAAAAGCAAAAACAAATGAGGAACACATGTGAATCAGCTTGAATTCACCCATGAACCCTTTTCTTTTATATTCATCCTAGGTACGGAGTAATCATCTCCTATAAGCAATAGAGTGCTCTACCTCCAAGGTTAGGGCTAGATGATTCTTACCAAAAGACGATTTAATTCAGCCTTTAAAAAGAAAATAATCTCCACATGGAACATTTCAATATAAACTGTATCTACTAAAGAACATGGACTCACATGCGCCTAGTGGATGGTCTAGCCTATGAAGGCAGCTATATAAGCTACCCATGTGGTTCACCTGAAATGGCCAAGTGCTATATTAGACCGTCGGGTTTTGGGGGCTTTTTTTTTTTTCTTTTTTCTTTTTTCTTCCTTATTTTCACTTATTCTCTACTCCGTAGGTTTTTTTTTTTACTGATTTTACTTATTTTTGTTTTAGTTACTGTATTTTTACTTTTTTGGCTTACTGGCCCCCCCCCTGTACCCAGAGGCTCAAAATCTCGATCGTCACTGGGAAAATGAAAATGAATAATAATTTTGGAATAGAAAATACAAAAGTGAAATTTAAATAAGTCAGATCATATCTTGCGTCTGACAACTGTTTATACTATCTTCCCTCTTGTATCTCTTTTACCTCTTTTTACTCTTCTGCTTTCCCTTTTTTATCTCTTCTTCTCTCTGATCTCTTCACTTTTAAGATCTCCAGAGCTCGTATTCTCCACGTGCTTAATTCAACTTATTCTTCGAACTTCAACGGCCCCCAAAGTTATTTTTGGAGGCTTTTGGGAAGTTACGTCTCACTCATTCCTCTATAACTACGGGCATACGTGCCCATCATCAACTCTTTCACAACATTCACCTGTGGAGTCCTTGACTCCAGTCCCTGTCATCTCTCCGCATTCTTCCAAAGCCAAAATGGTCGGTCCAGGCGGTGGTCCACCACGCAAGAGCCACACCAAATCCCGTAACGGCTGCAAAACATGCAAAAGAAGACACATTCGATGCGATGAGACTTTCCCGCAATGGTATGTTCTTCAAGCCATACCAGTATACCTTTACTAATCCTATATAGCCGCAATTGTACAAAGCACAACTGCCGCTGTGACTACCAGGATGCGGCTGCCACTCAAAGTGGGAGTCCCCCCGCGCCACGCCGTGGTCCCGACCTCCTCCTTTCGCCAGAGATCGAAATGGAAGTAGAGAATTGGCATCGCACTGGTGTGCCTCCGTATCCGGAGCTCTTGCAGTGTCCGCGATCCGGGTGGTCTGGCTTGTCACGGTCTGATTTGCGCCTGATTCACCATATAATTGGGCTTTCTATTGACTTGCATCGTCGAGGGCTGAGTGGTTGTACTGTGTGGGCGCAGAAGATGCCCAAGTGAGTATTTCGTTAGATTTAGCTGGGGTTGATGGTGTTTGCTGACGGGCGATATTCAATAGTTTCCTGGCTATTTCGCTGGGCAGCGACTTCGTTATGAGCTCTATCTTAAGCTTTTCGGCGTTTCATCTTGCTTTTCTTACCCGAGACCAGGAGACTAAGCAGTTGGCTTTCCGTCATAGAGTTACGGCTCTCCAAGGACTGCAGACCGCCCTAGGGTCCTTCTCGAAGGAGAACTGCGATGCAATTCTTGCGGCTTCTGTTCTTTTGTCATGGCAGGCGACAGACCAGTGAGTACTATAGATCAGCTCCTTGGAAAGTTCCCATCTGACCCAAAAACAGTCAAAGTTGGGCATCTTTGCAACACGGCATCTCCAGCGTCCTAGAATCTATGCATCCATATTGGAAGCAAGAGTCAGATATTGCACAGTTGGTAGAGAACCAACGAGCACTGAGCACGACAGATCTTTCAATGGCCGGGGTCTATCAACCCCTCGACGAAGACATGGTACATCTAGATCAAACGATCCAGGCCCTACAGATGACACAAAAACGTATTTCCCACAACCTCGAGCACTCTCAACGCCTAGGAGAACTCATCGAATTCATCCAGCAATTCCGTGATGACTTCCCCAACCAAACAGCCGAACAATCATTCGAAAGCATCCAAACTCTCCGCCGCTGGCTCTTCTGGCTCCCACCATCCATGCTCCGAAGTAGCGAATCAGAGATCAACGCTCTCCCAATCCTAGCCCAATTCTTCGCCGTCGGTATCTCTCTCGATCGCTTCTTCCCAGAGCTAGGTGGTGCATACCTAGGCGCCCTATTCATCAGTCCGGTCGAAGAGATGTACCGCATAATAGCCACCCATAACGCCGCAGATCCCTTCAACACCGAGCTGCGTCTAGCCCTGGAACTCATGGACTTGCCCCGCGGTATCGTTGCCCGCTATCGCAGTCGCCTCCCCCTCTCCTGGTCCCCCCGCCCATCAGTCGACTACTCCCCTGGCCCACCCAGCCCTTTCCACCACAACATACACGAGTACCCGCTTGTCGCCTCCTCCTCACCTGCTTCCGCTTCGCCTTCTTATGCCGCTTATACCCCGCCCCTGCACTCCCCTACCGCCATCAATATTGCCAACTCTGCCTTCCCCGTTCAAGACGCTTATGTCTCCGCACCCTCGCATTCTCTGTACCCACCCTCCCCACAGCTCCTCGATAACCACGACGTACACCTTGGTCTTTCGGATATGGGTCATGGCCATGCCCATCCTCACCCTGCTTCTGCTTCCATTCCTCATTCAGCGGCTTACACCCCGCCGTATGGTGATGTGCTGTGCGCCGGTTTGCCGCGCGCGGATAGCGCACTCGGTCTAAATATGGAGGCCTATTCGCCGACACATCCGTTTGAATTGCCAGGCATGGCTGCTCCAACTTCACTTTGGACTTGATTGTCAGGCTGTGCTGGGTTTATGTATACCCGAAAAAGAAGCAAAAATCAATCAAATGGGAAATTTTAGACTACGACCCTGAGCGAGGTTGGTTGGTTTGCTCTGGCTATTGGGTACCAGAAGGAAATTAGAAGACATAATCTGTCTCATTTTCTGAAAATATGGAGGCTACGGAGTTATGTTCTACTGGGAATTGGACCTGGAGAACATGCACTTTTTTTTTATCATTATACGCGAGTGTTTTGTTTTCGCCACTCGACTCTTTTCTTATATATTTGGACAGTGTTTGTGCTGAGTATGAGCGTTGATGCATGATCTTGTGTCCCATTTAATGCTCGGTTTGGATTTTATACTCGCTTGTAGTTGCAAGCTGGAGGCAGTTGACTCGAACTGATATTTTGATATTGATATATATACCCTGATTTTATCAAATCTTTTGTTAATCTGACTTGGGAATGTCTGTACATGCGTTGAGTAATATGCTTAATGTTATTCGGAACTATAGCCATCACGGAGGCAGACCTCAAAACTCGTCAATGAACAAGGAATCATTCACCCACCTCCGTAACATACCCATGTCTAAAGATAGAAAACTCTCACGACACTCCCCATAACCGAAGAATACACCTGAACCTACACCTCACGCACACCGATCGACAGGTACCACCCAACTCCCGAGAGCAGCCACCGGTAACCATCGTCACAGGCCCCATCCTAAGAATAGACAACGCGAACCAACTGAAAAGTATGGGGCAAATATTAAGGGAATTTAGACTACAGATCCATCCCTCTGATTGGTACCCCACCGGCCACATTTCTCCAGACCTCGTATTCGGCCGCCTCGAGATCTGTCCGAATAGGGTAGCATGTCCCCGAGCTAGCACCAATTTGGTTTCACTGAGGGGTTGGAGATAGTATGCGTATATCGAGTGTAAGGTATAAGCGTTCTAATGTGTAATTACTGGGGTCGGAGAACGATTCTTGCATGGGGTAGTAATTCATGTCCTTCATGCATCTACAGGGCTACAGCGCAGTATGACATCGTCGTTTTGTAGTCGCTGCAGCCCTATGTGTCGAGTGCTGTCTATATTTGATAAATGACGTTTTTTTTTCCACTCAGCTCTGGGCTTTGCTGGAGTGCAATGTGGTTGTTAGTTTGTGTGCTGTTATTATTATCTTCCTACTGTATTGTCACTAACATTGCGGTTGGATCTTCACTACACGGGAATTAAGTTAAAGATCGTCCCTGACCCCTCGTGTTTTCTATATTTATCTTCTTTCCTTCTGCTGGTTGCATACCCGATGTTACAGTTCTTGCTTCTTATACACTATTTTATGGGCAATACTCCGTACTGTTGTCGGAGGGGGCGCTTGAATGGGAATATTGCGTCTTCGATAGCACTCTTGGTCTTGGTCCTTGCACTAACAGATGGTCAATGCCACTTCGTCTTAGTGTATTTAGTCAAAATCGAAAGATTTTGACTGTATCTAGTAGTGGGCTTACTTTGAACTATTTTTGGTCTCAAGTTCGGGGATATCCGGCTGTTCACTTCGTTTCCNCGGGGGGGGGGGGGGGGCTGATTTTATTGCTGGTTCTGCTTTTTATTTGCCCTTTCCAAGATATTCAGTTAATTACTAGATATTAACGCATACTGTTCCTTCAAAAATAGAGGATTAACTATAACTAATCACTTCGTTGATATCCATGAATGTTGTTGTATACTACTCTTTCTGGCCTTCCGTGTCCAGGGTGCACCTTTGCTCTAAGTAAGATCTTGAGACTCATAAAATCTTTATTCTCTTCACTCAATTTCAATATGGTCACAATTTTACAATTACTTGCTGCGTGCTGTCCCCAATCTGCTAGAACATTAAAGCGACCTTCTCTACTTTATAGTGGAGACACACGTGACTTGAGGCTATTGCTCCGGCTTCACGTGATAATGACATAACCGCATTTCCCATTTGGGGAAGAAAGCAACCTCCACATCGACGACACAACATCTTCCATTCAATCGCCCTCAGCATCCATCACAGACAGTCAAAATGGCTGATGTAGGTGGCTGGAGCACCATCGAGTCAGATGAGGTACCATCACCACCCCCATGATCTATGTAAGCAGCAGCATACTAACCAAAGCTAGGGTCTGTTCACCTCTCTGATCGAGACACTCGGAGTAAAAGACACCCAATTCGAAGAGCTCATCTCCCTAGATGCAGACACAATACGGTTACTAGGGTGAGCAACAAGACCCCTCAAAATCCGCAATCCCACCACCTTCAAACTCCAAAAAAAACATCACAATCAAAGCTAACCGCATTCTCCAAACAGCCCAGTCTACGGCGTGATCTTCCTCTTTAAATGGACGCGCGAAGCTGCCGGCGCGCGCGCCGAAGCCCCCCTCGACGGAACCTACGACCAAACCGCCACAGACAATAACCTCTTCTTCGCCGCCCAGACAATCCAAAACGCCTGCGGCACACAAGCCATCCTCTCCGTAATCCTCAACCACGACAACCCTCCCGCGCCACAGCCAGCAATCGAGCTCGGCGAAGAGCTACGCTCCTTCAAAGACTTCACAACGGGCTTCCCGCCCGAGCTACGCGGCGAAGCGCTCTCGAACTCGGAAGCGATCCGGAGCGCGCACAACAGCTTTGCGCGGTCGAGCCCGTTCGCTGATGAGACCGCGCGGCCGCAGGACGATGAGAAGGGCGCGGACGTTTACCACTTCATTGCCTATACGCCTGTCAACGGGACGCTGTATGAGCTTGATGGGCTGCAGCCGTATCCTATTAGCCATGGCGCGTGTGGGACTGCGGAGTTCCCGGAGAAGGTTATTGAGGTTTTGCAGAGGCGCATTGCGCGGTACCCGCCTGATGAAACGCATTTTAATCTTATGGCTGTTGTGAGGGATCCGAGGGGGAGAGCGAGGGAGATTGGGGATGTGGAGACGCTTGAGAGGGAGGAGAGGAAGAGGGCTGCGTGGCAGTGGGAGAATACACTCAGACGGTGCAATTTCGTTGGGTTTATTGGGGAGGTTCTGAAGGGTGTTGTTGGGGTTAAAGAGAGTGATCCTGAGGGGAAAGCTTATGGGGAGTGGGTTGAGGGTGCGAAGAGGGAGACGAGGAAGAAGCTCGAGATGCGCCGATAGAGGGTTGGACATCAGTGGGTTCTTTTTTTTCTATTTCTGATTTTTCTACAATGGCATTTCAGATACCCTTTGTGAGATGATGAGGATGATCAAAATGAAATGAAATAAGACAAGATATGGTATTCGATGATGATGTTGAAACCCCAACGCTATAGTGTAGTAGATACATGTAGGTGTGATAAATCACCGATTTGACGGACTGATATGTACTGGCGTCCACACCGTAAATCATGATGATGCGTATGAACAAGTCTTCGTCGTGAAGATTATCATTAGTTCTCCTCCAATTCTCAGTATGCGACAAGCCGCGACTTGACATGCTCCAATAGAGGCGCAGGCAAGTCCTCTGGTTTGATCAGATTCAGTGACAGCAGATCACCCCAGAAGAACATGACTCGGTCCTGCGCGTAAGCTAGGTAGTCAAAGTCCCCGTCATCTTCTTCGTCGATATCCGCATCCACGGGGGGCGTCTTAGTGTCATCGCCATCGCCATTTTCGCTTGGCCCGTTGCGAGCAGCAAGCATCTCAGCAATGCCTTCTTCCATGCCAGGTACCTTGGCCTGGACGATGCCCCAAGCTACCCACTGCGCGGAGTTCATCGCCCGCCACATCCGGGTCTGCTGCATGAGGAATCGTACCTCTGAGTCAAGTTCAACCTCCTTAGACTGCTCATATTGCGAAAGCCGAGAGCTGGGTCTATCTGACACATCGTCCAAGTCCAATGGGGCAATTGCAACAGGAGCGCGAGCGCGAATGGTCGGCGAGGCTAGAGGTGAAATAGGTCCGCCGGCGCTGGAAGGTCGGTGGGTAAGATAGGTTGTCACGAAGTTGTACTGCTGCTCCGATGTCGGGTAGTTGCGGTTGTTGCAAGCCCATGAGCGCTCTTCGTCGTGGTAGTTGTAGCACCACTCGGTCTATTGCAGTTAGCATCCATTTGAATTGGCGATGGGGATTAGTGGACTTACAAAGTGATTGGCGAACTCGAGTCCACGTGTATTAGCCGAAGAATACTCAAAGTCGATGACGATCAGCTGTTTGTGTTCATTTGCAGGCAAAAGAAGTGGTGACTCTGTGGCCGGCTCCATGCGAAGTAGATTGCCATATTGAGTCTAGACAACGCGTCAATAACATATTCAGGAAAAGGTGCAAGAGACGGAAACTTACATCATTGTGCGCAAATACTAGTTGTCGCTTGATCTCGGCAGTTCCCCCAGAGCTGGCAACCAGCCAACGTCGGTAGTTATCCACGGCTTTACGGAACACGTCCCATGTTACGCCGCAGACATAGCCGCGACGACGCCATGGTTCCAATGCAGCTTTGGCCTCATTTTGAGGGGATTGAAGTTCATTATCCAGCCAGGTCGTTACTTGCTCGCAACGGTCCACCCATTTGTCCCAGTTTTTGAAGATCATAGGTCCGCCTTCGCGTTCTTCTTCAAGAAGTTCAACGCCATCGTGCAATTCTCTCATCCGCTTGGCAACCTGCCTCGCCGTTTCGGGCATTCGCAGCTCCTTGGGAGTGAGTGGACGAGCCTCAAAGTACTCTTCGAACCGACCATTGCGGAAAGTTCCGAGAATGCGGGGGCCAATATTCTTCTTTCCGAGGCGACGAAGAATTTGCAGCTCATTCTCTCGGTCGATTAGATGATCGACTTGGGGACCGTAGATACGCAAGAGAAGCTTCCTGTAAATCTAATTAGATGTGTATCCAAAGTGGGAAAGACAATTCGTTGCTTACGGTGGGCGCTTCCTTGAAACCAAACTGTTGCTATCGGTTTTCGGAGGAGGCAGATTCTTTGGCGGCTCAACTACATATACGGCGTTCGTCAGAGCACCGCTGAGCCTAACCACTTCAATCTCTGCCGCCAAATCCGCAGGAACCCTGCGCCAGCCCTTCAGCTGCAAAGTGTGCACAATACGCACGATCTCGGTCTTGAAAATGACCCAAGCCTCTGCATCCTTTGCTTGCTTCACACTCGCACTGGAGTCGGCGATCTCTTCTACTGCAGCGCCACCGGTGTAGGCAAGCGTCTTTGTATTGTCAAGGAAAGCTTCCACGCCTGGCGGGGCCCCGTCGACATCCGTGAGTTCAGACTCGGACGCAGACCCTCTTCGCAGGCCTGTCAGGCGGTGTCGAGATTGCCGCTTGACAGGTTGTTTGTGGTGCAAACCCATTGCACTTCTAGGTCGGGTAGTCGCATATTGGAGGAGGATTTTCTCCAGTTTATCCAGGGAAAAGGTGCTCTTCGAGTTGTTTGAGTTGTCCGAGGTGTCTGAGCTAGGTCTTTCTAAAACATCATCTTCTTCGGCTGACTTGTTCTCGTTTGTTGCATGGGGGGTTGCTTCGGCTTTTCGTGCTTTACGATTCTGTCGTCTGGTTTTCTCATGGTGAAGCCATTCGTGTACTTGGTGAAATAGACTCTGCTGGGAATCTTCCTCAGGTCTGGTAGATTGCCCTTGGTCCTCCCGATGCTTGAAAGCCGAGTGATCCTCTAGAGAAGGCATGATGAATGATGATGGTTGCGCAATGGGGCTTTGGTGACACGTGATCGATACTGTCTCAGATGTGTTGCGTCGGGGAGCTGACAACAGCTCCACTTGCATGCAAGGCCTTGGTCAAAGAGCAGATATCCAAGCCTGTTGCCGTACTAGATAAATCTGTTGGGAATTAGTATGGTTGAAGTTAAGAAAGACGAATGATTCGAGTGGGGTGTTGCTGGGGCGAGAGTCGAGTCGAGTCGCCTCCGAGAAGGAATTACAAGCAAGGGGACAACGTGTACTTATATGGAAGAACACACACAGCGATACAGTGGATTCCTTATCTACACGGGAGTCGCACAAGGAACGTGCTGGAAAGGAGATAAAGCCCACCTGGATATTGAAGAATGGTATCTTCACGTGTAAAAGCCAAGATACGGAGGCTCAAGGGCTTATCTCTTTGAGCACGCGACCAGTTGCGAAAGGTGATCCCAGCCAAAAAAGTGCCCCGAGAATGATTTAAGACAAAAAGGGGAGAGGTGGGGGAAAATAATTGGACCCCTTAAAACCAGTGGACGGGAAACAAGCGAACGGAAACGTCCCAGCGATCAAGTTAGTTGGATCTGGTCCCTGGCTACCCACACATCCTAAATGACGAAATCCGGGGAAATGCTGTGCTCAAAAAGAACCTTCGAAGTAAGTGTAGAGCAAGAACACTGAAAAGAAAGTCCTGATTGAGTGAGGGTGGGGGAATACGTTCAAGAAAGAAGTGGCGAAAAAAAATGGGATGCTTATCGCTCAGGTGACTGTTTTCGGCCTGGCTAATCGGGCAGCTAACGTTCCTGCATGTGGTTCCTGGTCGTTTTTGGTCGTTTCGGGTTTTATCATCGCAAATATTTCGGGAGTAAACCCCGGAAGTTTCGTAATACCTCGGAATATCCGGGTCGCACTCAATGCATCACACTTGATGGCGTTTGACGGGGATCTATGGCCGTGGCTTTCTCGCTATCGGAACCAGCAGAAAGAGGCAACACCGCATTGTTGGGAAGCCGAGAAGCGATATGGGTCACACAGGTACATGGCGCTCATGGGTTTCAATTTGTCGCATGTGGGAGATAGCTGGCTCCAAAGGAGCATTGAAGCTTTCATTTGGTCTTGGCTTCGGTCTAGTGGGAACATTGGAGTATGTTAACCAGTACTCCGTACTCAGCAGTGCTCCGTAATGAGTACGGAGTACACAACATAACATATGAAAACTAGAAGATCAGCATTTTTAGAGTCTCGAGTAGGGTCCTTTTAGGAGTATCTGCATTGACACAAAGAAAAACTTGAAGTCGGGGAGGTTGGATGTTGGCTCGGATGTGTGCGCAGCAGAGAGGGGAAGCTTGGTAAATTACCGTATCCAGTGGTCTACGGTATTGTTCCTCATTTGGCTGCATCCATGTATCAAGACAAGTATAAAATATTAACATATTAACATATATGGAAAGAGATACATAGTAGATAGGGAGGAATAAATTATAGCAACATCTTGCACCATTGTTTCTAACGTGTTTACAGCGGTTATTCTCCTTTGCAGATAGGACAACATTCGATCTCCAGGTAATCCAGTGGAACAGTGAGCATCATTCATAAAGATTGCGGGGATTGGCGTACACAATACGCGTGTTGTGGTCTTCTAGAAAAGGCGTTTCGACGTCCCAACCATTAGCGTTGTGAAGATCCATGACTTTGGCACCAAGGGGCTCATCCTCTCGAGGCCATCTAACCAGAGCCCAACCACGCTTTTTCACGTGGCGGAGCACATAGACTGGGAAGACATTTTTGATTTTGTGAGCCGTATTGAAGTCATAATCGAGATGGTTAATGTCGACGACAATGAAGGTACGTTCGTCCCATACATCAATGGCGAGAAACCGAATCCGCGGGTCATTTTCCCAGCCAGGAAAAACCTCGCCGATAACTTCGTTGGCCGAGGCGCGATAGTTTTGAGAATCCAGCCTTTGGGTCCTCACTTTAATGACAATTCGTTTTGCAATGTCATTTCCCAAGATCTCGTTCTGTATATCAGAAAGGCTGCCGATGGACGCCATGCAGCCAGAGGTTGGGGTATTTGGTGAAGAAGTATATTTTGAATGTGTTCGAACACAGGAATTCCCAGGAAGAGCACTCAAGGTAAAAGACTGTATACATGGATGAGCAGGCAACCGTCCGTTCTTATATCTAGCACAGTCGATAATAGGCTAAGCTCAAAATGGCAAGAGAGATGCCTACATACCCCTTACTTCGTCCGATTCTTGGACATAGTAATCGATTCTATCCCATAGCAAATAAGGAGAACTAAAGAATTTCATCATCTGAGCTGGAGAGATATATGGGTGCTTTGCACATTTGCCTGGTACTAGTGAACCCTGGTTATAGTCGAAAAGAACAAGCAGGTTATCTTACATACAACGTCCCGAGCATCATCCTGGGCCAGATTCATTGAGCATATCAAGGAAAAGTTTGATGCGCAGTCAACTTTGCAGAATTCATTTCATAGTGTGCTTGCTCTATCTAGTTGAAACGCACATGTTAACGCCGGAAGTTCCCACCCGAACTTGCGATCAACTCAAACTTTTCCTATTTGCTGGCCACGATACAACAAGCATCCTGCTACAATGGGCATTCCACGAACTAGCTCGCACCCCGCACGTCTTGCGCCGTGTTTGTATGGAACTGGATGAGATCTTTGGTTCTGACTCCTATCCAAACCACATTCAAGCTCAAATCCTAGAACATGGAGAGAATGCTCTCCAAAGAATTTCATCTACGAATCTGCTGTTATCAAGGAAATCTTTCGCCTGTATCCACTAGGTGCGACAGCGCGATTTTCCAATACAAACACTGGGTTGAATGTTCGACTACCAAATGGTCAAGATATGTGCCTGGATGGGCTGTTGCCCTACAACTGTCAGAGTATTATACATCGTGACCAAGCCGTGTATGGCGACTAAAACAATCAGGTTATTCCCCAACGTTGGTTGGAAACCAGCTCCATCATACCGGCGAGTGCTTGGCGGCCTTTCGAGCGTGGACCACGCAACTGTATAGAATAAGAGCTGGCAAAGATCGAAGCATTTATGATTATCACATGTGCGACTCGGCGACATGATTGGGAGAAAGTAGGACTTGAGTCAACCAAGCGGGGTGAGTCGGGCGCTCCAACTGAGAAAGAAAACGGAAAACACGAAGTTCGGTCAGAGCTGTATAATGTAAGTGCTCCGCAGGACTACCTGTAGGGCTGGAAGTATCATGGATTTACTAACCAGGTTTAGACACTGGAGATTATCTCTAAGCTAGTGAATGGAATGAGGATGCGAGTGAAATTGGTAAAAACATAGAACCTAATAGACCAGTATTCATATTAGTTATAATGCAAACCACTCAAATTATGAAACCTCGTGTGCAATACATTCGTTCATAAGAACGTGCTCTTGGACAACATCCAAAATTCTTATGTAAGAGTGATGGCTGGCTGGACATATTATGAGACATTCAATGCAGCCAAGGGCTTCTGCTCACATGTCAGATAAACTAGGTTGAGCATTCGAACGGCGAAGAGACGAAAATAAAAACTGAGAAGCAGATGCATTGGGCTGAAAAGGCAAATTAATAGTCAGGGCTGTCAGCCGACCGTTTATCTGCATGGTCATTATGGTTAAGGCGTTTCCCCCAAGACCTCCAAATAGCTATGGGTATATAGCATGGTAGACAAGCTCATTAATAAGGTATGCAGAGCAATAGATGTTGTCTCCGGACCTTAAAGCAAGGGATAATTGCAGAAGAAGAACGAGACGAACATCCCTTGGGCGAATAAGCCAAAAGGCAATACTCTATGAAGGGAGGCTCGGCTGAGTACAGAATGTACGCCACTTATACGGGGTACTCCGTACAATATCTAAGATTGTAGACATCCCTAGCTCGCGTCCCCGGATCGAGATCGGCTACGCCGATCACTCCTCACGCCAAGCAGGCGGAATTTTAATTCGAGTCCATGTGGAGGAACCAAGTGAAACATGATCACTTATATCTCACAGACCGGGCTTTTAGAGCCCGAAGCTATAATTAGGGCCCTTTGTGTCGTCAGTGGCACTATATTGCAGACAAAATATAGTACATATTCTCCTATTTCACATATAAAACCCAGAATCTCACCAACTTATTAACGTTGAAGATATTCCATCTACAATTCTCCCTATTGTCTACCACTGAATCCCCAAAATCTCAAAATGAAGTTCACTGCAGCAATCGTCGCTTCCCTGGTGGGAACCAGCACCGCCTTGTTCAGCAAGGACCAGCGTATGCAGTTCCATACTCATCTGCAATGTTTTGAACTAACAATTCCTTTTTTTCAATGATTTAGCCTGGGGCAAACGCGACTACGCCTGTGTAAACGTCTACCAAGGCATCCCCGACAACTCAACCATCTCCGCTGGCCAAACCGTGCGTGTCCACTTCGACCGCAAGCCCACGGGACGCTGCCCAGACCCATTGAACCAGTACCCCGGCAGCGACTACAGCGTGTGGCTGTACAACAATCCCGTGCGCAAGCTAGACACCATCTCCTTCGACCAGTCTATCAAGATCACGGGGGGTATCAAGGAGAAGGCGGGTCTTGTTAATGTCACTATCCCGAAGGATTTGCCCAAGGTTAAGGATAGTTCGCTTTGGTATTTGAGGATTGACACTTCTCTCTCAACTGCGCCACAGGTATGTTTCTTTCTTTTTTGCGGGGTTGGGGTTACATACTTTTGGGCTGTGTTTATCTTGGCTTTTATTTAATTCCAGGGGCTAACCAATATTATGCAGATGCCCTCCTTGTTTAACGCTGCTGGGCCATTTACGGTTATTCGTGCATAGAGGACTAGGGTTCGATTTAAAATCTGGTTGAAGAGGGGGTATGGTCTTATTTATGCATGTAATTATAGTCATACCACTACCATATCTTTATTGAATATGACAGCACAGGCAAATTGGAGCATATGTATATTGGATTGGGTTCCAAGCTCTTGGCTGATGAAAATAACTCAAGCTTTGTTGCTAGGATACTATGAATAACTTGGTTCTTAGGCACCAGCCTCAGGATGACCCCTCAGGATGACCATGCAGGATTCCGTAACGTCATAAAATCAACATCTCATCATCTAATCACGGAATGAGACGCTAAAGACCTTGTAGCCACTCGTAGGTTTCGCGTGGTCACCTTCAGCATTCAAGTCTCCGTGCTTGTCAATATCAATGTACCGCCCTTTCTCCACAAACTGCATGGTATAGCCAAGACCACTACCCAAGAAGGTGAAATGCACCTGGGCTGCATTTGAATTCTGGTTTTTGGGAAGCAAAGCACCATCGAGACCGATCCATCGACCATCTAGTGCGCTGGAGATGGTAAATGTATGGCTTTCCTCATCGTTGTTGTAGTGAATTACCCAACGCTGGGATTTATTGTTGTGCTCAGGGCTTGTACAGCTGGACACAAGGCGGTTGCCTGTAGCCGGATTTGTTATGGCTGCTCCATTCTTCTCAAAGACTAGGTATCGGCCCTCGGTGAGGTAGCCGACCACCTCTTTGAAGCCCTCTTCAAACCACAAGGTATTGACATCGGTTGTGTTGCTCTGTTCTCCATATGGAACATCAGGACGTGTCTGCTTATGGCGAGACTGGCAGTTAGATGTACCAGTATACTCGCCCTTTTCGTTGGTATCCACAGTCCCGGCATCCGGAAGATTGGGGAGAGAGTAGTCTGGATGGTCCAAATCAAGCGCGTTGACTAGATTAGACATGTGCTTGCGTCGCCATGAAACCATCTGATTGGTTGTAATATTTTTGTGTCCCCGCGCTGTCAGCCATTCCTCAACAAAGAGAATCTGAGAGTTATGATCTGCCCGCTCAGTGAACACGCGATTTCCTCGGGTCCAAGGGGAGATCATATAGAATGGTACTCGGAAACCAGGCCCCACAAAGATATCCGAGAACATACCTAAGGGGTCCTGCATCCAGTCTCCCGGGGTGTTCTTAGGGGAATGGAAGGGGGTTACATGGTCGCCAAAGCCACCAGTTTCATCAAAGCTGATCATCAGAAGCGTTGAGTTATACTTCGGGCTACTAGTGACGGCGTCGACGACCTTCTTCTGAAGCCAGCCTCCATCCTTTGGCATGTATGGTGGATGCTCAGACAGCTCGGACGGGCCAACAATGAAACTGACCTCGGGCAATGTGCCGTTGGCGGCAGCCTGATAGAAGGAATCTAGACCAACAAAAGACATACCCTTTTTGGCCAGAGGGCTATTTTTCGGGGCAGTCTGAAATTGCTGGAACCAAGCCAACGGGTTATCGTCGAAGTTGTTTGTGTCTTGAAAGAGTTGCCATGAGACCCCTGCCTCTTCATAAAAGTCATAGACGGTCTTCCACTTGAGTGGGTAGCAGTTGATACCATGGTCATCACAGCCTGTGTAACTTTGGTCAGACCATGAAATAGCTAAAAATACAATTATCTAGAGGGATAGGAAAATGAACAGCAGATATAGCTGACGATACATACCTGGTACCTCGTTGTTATCAATATATACACCTCCCTGGTCCTTGTCCTGGGGACTACCAGGAACGTTGATAGAGCCGCTGACCAAAGTAACCCGATTAGGATTTGTGGCAGTGATTTGACTCTCCTGTTTGCAAATCAGTCTCCAATCTCTTTGGAATTGACTCTGGCCACGTACCTGATACATGTCTCCTGATGTCCAACCTTCAGCAATGGCAAATTGAACTGGAATATCTTGTCGCTTCAGGTAGCCCCAACTCCAGGGGGTGTTTTTAGTCACCCAGTGGTTGTTCAACCCGTTGTTGAGAGACTGTTGGTTTTCCTTGTAGCCGTTGCTACCCGCGACCATGCACTGAATCGCATCATGCCAGTCGCCACCTTGATATCCAAGATACCAGGGTAACAAAGTCTTGGTTTTGTTTGACTGAGCCGGCTCGACTAGTCTGACACGGAATATCAGAACCAATTTCTTCCCTTAGAACTGTGGTATTCGGCACTTACTGATGCCAAACCGAGTTTCCGTCGGAGTTGACCTGAACATTGGGGTCATTGAAGCCACGGACTCCAGGCATAGTGCCAAAATACTACCATTTGGTGAGCATGGTGTGAACGTCTCATAGCGCAGGTGAAACTTACCGTGTCCCATGAGCGGTTCTCCTGCATGAAGATGACTACATGCTCGATGTCGCTTAAGGATCCACCGAAAACGAGCACAGCTTCGAGAAGTACCGCGATAGCGATACATATCGGCGATTTGAAAGCCATGATTCGGCGATTGCAGAAGGAATGATGGGAAAGAATTCAACGGAGAGAAGATCCCACTACTTATGTACTCCCAACGAGGCATGCAGATAGCGGAGAAAATCGAGTGAATAGTAGTACTAGGCACATGTACTTATGGATCCCCTCAACAAGCTTTGGGACTTGGTTACATCTGCAGGCGCTGTTCCCCCATGACAGCCCCAGACCATTCAAGGAAAGGACGAATGGGAATATGGGGATTGAAACACAGGGATGGGCTGGCATTCTTGGTGCGGCATGGCCGCCGATCATGCACAATGGAATAATGCAAGTCCGTATGTTGTATATTGTACGGAGTAGAAGTCGAGTAATATAAGAGAAGGTACCTACCTAGGTACATTCAATGTTGATCCAATCTGACATGCGGGTGTCTCCACGTGAAATTTTGTTCCATGGTTCGATCAACACTGAACAGGAACATACTTTCGGCAGGAACGATCTTGTATACTTTTGGCTTAGTCGAGGGTCTCACAGGTCCACGGGTTACTTTAGTGCCTGTCTTATTCACTAAATGTGTATGCGATAGAATGCGCTTGGACATCACATTCAACCGCTAATTATTTTACCTTTGCTCTGATTGATCAAGAGGGGCACGTGTGGTGCATATGTCTTTCTGTAAGGTCGCATCACCTTGATCCCTTTGGCGGCAAGGGTGGTATGATCATAGGGTGGAACGTTCTCTCCTTTAGCACTCATTTAGTATTTGATCTTCTTTATATATCTGATATGCTCAAAGTTAAATGGGCTATGTTCCTCCTGGTTGCTTTGAAACCCCGTAGAGGCAGGACGGTCGGGGCCGGAAAACTATCCCCAGTTCAGAATAGTTGGCCCTTCAACCAATGCCGGGGCTGTCACAACGGCCATGGCCGATCGTAGGCTGCTCATTGGCTACATGTTTATTGATCGGATTAGTGTATTTGCTCCAGTCATCTACATTTTTTGTGCCCTTGATATTACCTGGGCGACATCAGCAAAACATTCAGGATGAGGCCATCTCTGAGCGACCGCGGATAGAGCTTCACCCGCAGGATCATGTGTACCGGGAGCCGGCGACTCAATATTTGGATTGGCGTGTGACCTCGGAATTTCGCAGACCAGATGGTGTATCGAAGCGGGTCTATCTCATCAACGGTTAGTTGAAGGAACTGACTGGTAAAACGGTTGTCGATCTGACCGGAGGATATTGAACTAGGCCTGTTCCCTGGACCGACGGTGGAGGTCCGCTCTGGTGACACCTTGATTATCACTGTTACCAATGCCTTATCGGATGATTTGATTGCTATTCATTGGCACGGCCTTCATGTGGCAAGTAAGTATCTGCCTTTGTCAGATCTCGATTAAAAGCATTGGGGCTAACTCACATAGATGCCATGGATGGTGCAGCGGGTATCTCACAATGTGCCGTAAATCCTGGAGGACAGTTTGTCTACAACTTGACGATTCCATCCGATCAGAGTGGTACTTTCTGGTACCATGCCCATTCGGGGGTTTCACGGGGGGATGGCCTTTATGGTGGGCTAGTCGTCCATGCACCAGCTTCCAAATCGACCGTTCGGGGCTTACTACCCCAGAGGGATGATAATCCCCTCCGTTATACTTATGATAGAGAACTTTTGCTTCTCATTGGGGACTGGTACCATCGCCCTGCGGGTGATGTTCTTGAATGGTATATGGACCCGGGGAATTTTGGAAACGAGGTGAGTTCCGAAGTGTGGCCCTAGACGTGGGAGAGTGCTATCTGACACTGGTATTAGCCTGTTCCTGATTCCATGCTCATTAATGGGGCAGGATATTTTGACTGCACGATGGCGGTCCCTGCTAGGCCAGTGGACTGCATCGATCAGCAGGTGAATACTTCATTTATCGACCTCGACCCCAACGCGACATATCGAATTCGCGTGGTCAACACTGGGTATGTCACAGAACCATAAGAGCCAAATTAGTTATTAGCTGACCAGTGGACAGAGCTCTAGCTGGACTGAGTCTCATTTTCGACAACCATCTCCTGGATCTGCTTCAGGTTGATAGTGTAGATGTGGCACGCTCCAACAAGACAAATAGAAATTCCATCGGCACACTTTTCCCTGGACAACGCATGGACTTTGTTCTTCAGCCATTGTTACCGATCTCTGAAAAGCAGTCACACATGAGGGTTCGGTTAGATCAAGAGTATGAACAGGCTCGCCCAGCATCACAGCAGCTATCGAGGGGTTGCTAATGTCTCACCAGTTCCTTCAATTATGCCAACCCGGCATTGACGCCAGATCAAACCTTCCCCATCAACTACCGTTCCGATGCCGTCGAGGGACCCCCAATCGAGGCCCACCATCTCAACATCGGAGAAGCGCCTTCTGCGCCCTCTATTCTCAGTTCCATCCCCCCCACTGCGCAACAAACACACGTGGTGTACACCAAGATCCAGAAAATGGCCCGATATTCTAATAAGCCATTCGGTTACTTCAATCAAACTACCTGGAAACCCCAGCAAGACCCACCTATCCCACTGGCCTCAATACCACGAACCAGATGGGACGCAAACCAATTCGCAATAACCACGGGGCCGGAGCCTACATGGATAGACCTAGTAGTCAACAATCTAGACGATGGGTCCCACCCTTTCCACATGGTAAGAACCCCTCCCCCAACCCAGTGTCGGCAATCCACTAATTCATATCCACTCCAGCACGGACACCACTTCTACGTACTGGCAGTGCACCAAGCCGAATTTGGCTGGGGCTCCTACAATCCCTTCATTGACAAAATCCCACCCCACCTAGAACCTGACTTAGGTAAGTTGAGAAATAGCACAGATGACGCCCGGAACCCCAACACTGGTTATAATTCCGGTCTGTACGACACCTCCCGGGCTGCTTTCCGTGACACAGTCCAGATCCCAAGTCGCGGCTATGCTGTTCTCCGTTTCCGGGCAGATAACCCTGGTGTTTGGCTGTTTCATTGTCATATGCTCTGGCATTCGGCCACGGGTATGGTCATGTTGATCGATGTGCAGGGGGACCCGGCGGGATTAGCTGCGCACGCTGGCAGCGGAGGATTATGTCCTGCTTCTTAAGATGTATTGTGTATTTTTTGCCTCGGGACTAGCCCACTGATTATGTATCACTTACACTCCAGATCCCAGCCTCTCATGTTTTCTAGATAATTTGGGAAATTTTGCCGAACAAGCTCTAGTCCCAAAGTGGAAATTATCCGAGATGAGCGACGATTCAGGGGTACGGGAAGGAGATGGCCCACAGCCTATTGGAAAAAAGTTGACCAGCTACAGAGTACGGAATACTTCGAGAATTCCAATTGACGGGAAAGAGGTCTCGTGTCGAAGCTGGGTAAATTTAGAACGATATTGACAATCCCCAGAGCCTCAAGGAGCTCGCTTAATAGTACCCGGGCAGCCACGAGATGACCTCGGACCACATTGTCATTTGAAGCCCCCGGCCCGGGGCTCTAGCCCCTGGAAGGGTTCAGTAACCGTCGACATATGCTATGAAAGTTATGATGTGGCCCAAATTCCTAGCGGTTTCATTGTACTTTTCACTTCGTACAAAGTACATCCTTGACATCCCCAATGAGGGCCGTGTCGATCCCCGGGCCCACCACACCGGCCCCAATGGCCCCCATTGTCTATTAATGGCCCGCGTTCGCGTTTTCGCGTTCTGGGCCTACAAATTCTCCTTTCTTTTTTTTTCATGTGTCTATAATTGGGGAGATATTGTACATCTTTGCAATTAGCTATAGTACCCCCTCAAGATGCAGCCGGTTCGTTGCGTTCGATCTTGGGTGAAATCACTACAGCTCGGCCTCGTGACTATGGCCGAAGCCATTCGCTCAGGGACATGGAGAGAACATCAATATCAGCTCCTTCAAGGGGCACAACAAAAGTCTCCGTACTATTACCTCCAAAATACCAAGAGAACTTTTACTATCCCTGGGCTGGCGATAGCGGCTATGTTGGTACTTTGGTATATTTTCTCGCATCCACTGCTTTATTTGGCTGCCCTCGACGAACATGATTGCCAACATCCAGTCGCTCGACTTGTTTATGATGCCAAGCAGGCTTTTAACGAAACATTGGGGCACCAGTCGAAGTCATTGGACGAGGCAGTGGCGGAATATCGACGACGATATAAGATGCCACCACCTCCCCACTTTGATGAATGGTATGCGTTTGCAATGTCACGAAACACAGTCTTGATCGATGAATTCGATACGATATATCATAATTTGCTGCCTTTCTGGGGAATTGCACCTAGTACGATTCGTTCTCGTGTGAGAGAGGATCTTGGGTATAATAATCACGTCATGGGCATTGCCATTCGTGACGGCAGAGCTATCCATTTGGGCAATGGCCAGGGGGGATTCCAGAGAGATGCAACAATGAAGATTCTTGACAAGTTCTCCCAGTGGTTACCGGACATGAACATGGAATTCAATGTACACGACGAACCACGAGTAATAATTCCGCATGAGGAGCTGCACATGATGGTCACTAAAGGGTATGCAGCTCACGCTCGGCTGAATTGTAACTCATCGCTATTGAACCTATTTTCACCGGGCGATGTGCATGACCCTATCCCACCAGTGCAGGTCTCCACGACCAGATTCAACAACATCGAGCGCCAAGAGACCTGGCTTTACTCGCGGCTTTCATGTCCACTTGACACACCTGCTAGGGCGCTGGATAGTAACGCACCAGATAACTCAAGTGCTTACGCAGTGGGTCCTCTGGGCTTTGTGTTCAACCAGACCGCCGCTAGTGATATGTGCAACAGCCCGTCGCTGCGACATCGGCTGGGAGTTTTTGACCACCCAAACTCTTTCAAGGTGACAAACGAGCTAGTCCCGATGTTTTCGATGTCCCGTCCGTCTTCATTCCAGGATATTGCAGTTCCCTCACCGTATTATTATGAAGGCATATCGCAGTTCGATGCAGAAACTTCAGTTGAGTGGGAGAACAAGAAACACCAGCTATACTGGCGCGGAAAAACTACCGGAGGACATAGTCGGAACGGCACCTGGCACAACCTACAACGTCAGCGTATCATCGGAAACCTGACCCATCCACAATCGCCCCAGTATCTCATGCAGCCAAAGAGCGATTCAAAATGCATTGCGGGCGGCAGTGATGGCTGGGAGGTCCAAGTGGCAAATCGATCCCAGATTAAGGGATACTTCAATACCCATTTCATTGAGATCGTGGATTGCGACGAGGACTGCCATGATGAGCAAATGTTTTTCGATGATATTGCGGAACCAGATCCCGCGAGCGAGGCCTGGAAATACCGGTATCTGTTGGACCTGGATGGCCATGCCTACAGCGGGAGGTTTTACGCCTTCATGCGTAGCAATAGTGTTCCATTCAAGTTGACCTTCTTCCGGGAGTGGCACGAGGATGTTTTGGTTCCATGGGTCCACTACGTGCCAATTAACAAAGAAGGAAATGAGATCCCTGAGTTGATACGGTTCTTCGAGGAAGATCCTACTGGCCAGCAGATTGCTCGATCCATCGGCGAAGAGGGCCAATCTTGGGCGGCTAGAACGATCAGAAATGATGATATTGACGTTTACATGTTTCGACTCTTTCTGGAGTAAGTTTGATGAAGCATCTATCTAATGTTGACTCTGCTAACTGGAATTGTAGGTACGCCCGTGTGCAAGATGACCAGAGGGAGAACCTGGGATTTCTATTGTAGAAGCCCTGTGGGAGATCAAGTCTATCTACCACAGTCGGTTTTCTGACAAAATCCCCACGGAAGCGGTCGATGGGCATTCCAGTCAATCCGAGTCCTAAACAAAACAGTGACACTATATCTCTAAATCACCAAGATGGGATGGAGTGTCCACTGTCATGGACTGCTATACGACATGCGCACATTCTCATTGCCTGCAGTCTGAATAGGACGTTTCATGAAATCAATGTCTATGGGTTTCCTGGTCTAGGAGCCACAGCATTGTCTGCGGTCGTACATCGAATGACCCATTTCGATAATTCGCGCGGTACGATGTGCTAGAGAAGTCTAGTGAGGTTCAATCGGGAACTAGCCCATCTGAAAATGATGTCGGGGGCAAACAAGATTGAACGGGTGCGAAAGAAACAGTGTGCAGCAATTAGTTTCTTTTCTCGGGGCTTAGATCCAAGCTGAATGGGGGAATGCCTATACTGCGACAGGTCGATCTTACATTGCCACTGCCTGCTCCTAGGTACGGCTGGTTAGCCTGCGACGGGTTACGACTTGTATGGAATTCCAGCGAGGGCTGACTGAGTCATGGAGCTTTTTCAGTTTCCTTGCTACTTGCATGTTATCTAATAAATTCTTTGAATGTATATATATCTTAGTTTCTACACCACTATCAGAATATCAAAACCATTACCTCCCTTTGGAGATGGACATTGAAGTTAGGAGACCACAGAAGAGGCAATTAGAAACAAATGAACACATCGCTTTTCAAGTAAATTTAAACGTACAGGTTTCATAAGTGTCCGACTACTCAAAAAAACTCAAAAGTAGATTCTTCACCTACAGAAACCCATCCGTAAACTGCACCCCATCCACCGTCCTTGAAAACAACAAATCCTGCCCATCCAACAGAAACCTACCCAAGAAATCCAAAGAAACCCAACAATACTTTTGCGGCGCACCCTTCAAGAAACCTTCAACAAGGGCCTTCTCCAAGCTGACGGGCATCTTCAACCTCCACAGCGTGAGAATCTCATATCCGTACTTGGATTCTTTCAACCCGGTATTGAACTCCGCATTACCGATGCCCCCATCATCAGGAACTTCTCCAGGGACCTTACCTGGAGAGATACGGGCAACATATTCGATTCTTTTAATAGGGCTGGTGGTGTAGAACCAGATGTGCTGGATGGTTGACGGGAGGAGATAGCTGCGGTATTCGTGGTTTTTAGAACCTGAGACGATATTTTGCATGTGCTCCGGTTTTATACTCATGAAGATGTCTGAGGTTGATTTTGCCATTTTGATGGCGGCTTGGAGGGAATTATTGTGGATGGGTGGGAGTTGATCGCAGTGGTGATGCGGGGTGATTTCTCATGCAAGTGTAGAGAATTTAAGGTGCAGATGCAGTCAGCTGTATGAATTGGTCATTTTTATCATACCAGCCCGCATCAAGTGAGTTGTCCTAGAAAACGCCGTAGCAAATAAGGATATATAATTTCATATAGATAGGAATCACAATAAGCGCATAGGTTAAGAAAGTGCAGGTGTACAACCTTGGAAGGAATAATGCCCTAGGTAACGCCAATTCCCCCAAAGAGAAAAAGGAATGGGTAATTACAGGAACGTCCAAAGAGAATGAATATAGAACCCCCGAGAAAAGAAAGAAGAAACAAGACTAGAGAGGGAAAGACCAGCTTTGCCGTCCAGGTTCAGTTGCAAAGCAAAGAGCCTACGAAGCAGCGGCCCACTCCACAACCTCCAGAGCACACATGACAAGCACGAGGGTCGAGGGGAGAATCCTGGAAAGAAAAAAGCCATGTTAGCAATGATCGATGCTCGAAAAGGATGACCAGAGGATGTCTGTTCTTTGTAAATAGGAGGGATAAGGGCTTACCAGACAACATAACTCTGGAACAAGAGTTTCGACATAGCACCAACATAGACATTATTGATCTGACAGATCTGCGCCAACTGCAATGCTGACGGCGCACCCGTAAGCAGGAAGCAGACAATAATGAAAATCGGATCATCAAGGATACTAATTGGCACAAACTTGGCCATGAGTGCCAAAATTGGAGCCATAATAATGGTTGGAAGAAGCATGCGCGCAACTAGGGAAGCGATGATAAGCTTGCGTTCGTCGCGGGGATGTTCTATGTCTGCTAGCGCCTCCTCGGGAATTGTATTGCGCGCGAGGTTCGCACCGAGCACAACCAGGATCAGCGGAACCGCGACCTGTCCGTTCGACTCGATTGCGCGGGTGACTGAGTTGCGGACGAAAGTGCCGTCGTGGAAGAAAAGGCGCTGGAGTGCCGGGACGGATGCGACAATGATAGACACTAGCATTGCCCATAGGGGTGGGTTCATGAAGTCCCATAAGCCATTAAGGAAGCGACGCAGTCCGAGAGTGGTTGATGCGAGGCCCTTTTGGACCTTTGGTGGAAGCCGCGCGTGGAGGGCGTTAGTTTTCTTTTCTCGCCACTGGCTCAGACGGTCTCGCGATTTGCGCAGAGACGCTTTGCAGCGCTGGAAACGCGTTTTATCGGCTTCTTGAGCCTCGCGCGCAGTGATTTCGACATCCGGGAATTGGAGGATGTCGCCTTGGGAGCTTTGACGGGGGAGGAAGGGGCCGATGGGTGGCGGTCCAATTACTGACGGTGTATCGTCTGAGTCGAGGTCGTCTGAGTGGGTGGAGGATAGCTTCGAGTAGGAATAAGTTCGCGTTGACACGGGTGTTTGGTCGCCGGATGGGAAGTGGCGGTCGGTGTGTGTTGCACGTTGCGCATGGTTTAGATCGTCCGAGCTGCGTGTTCTGACTAGCGGCTCGTCCGGGTCTGTCTGGTCCGTGTTGTCGCTATACCGCGCCTGGCCCTGCTCGATGATTGATTGGCCACTCTCGTCGCGCTCCGCCTCCTCGAGGTATCGATCCTTAGGCGCCAAGAGAATGTGGTATCCCCAGCTCCAGCGCACAAGTTGACCTAGCTGCTGGAAGATAAGCAGGTATAGAATGCCACGTGCGGCGACTTCGTCATCGTTGTCGTTTGGGAGCCGGTCCCAGTGGAGGCCCTTGAGGGTCTGCGATAGCGATATGACGAGAGAGATCGGGAGAGAATTTGAATTTCCAAAGACCTGCAGAGAAGTAGCCATTAGAATTAGATATTCAACTCTCTCAAATGGTAGGGCCCACTACATACCGCCATGGCGGCCACGAAATTCGACTGTCGCTTCTTGAAGCGGCAACATTTTGCGACAACGAAGGAACATAAGTATGAGACGAAAGTCTGGACAATAAAAATAACCGGGATGATAGCCAGGTCTGTCAGCTTTTCAGCGGTTAATTGTGAGCCCAATTTGGTGAAAACTGCAGGAATCAGCCATGTCACAGAAATATCTCATCGTGAGAGCAACGTAGGAATCCATACTGAGGCAGGGGGTGAACAGAGTCACATTGAGGTTTGCCACTAGCTTCTGAGCATCGGCATCGAACATGCCCTGACGGGCGGCAATATAACCAGGTAAGCTGACACAGACGACTTCCAGCACTGCTGAAAAGACGAGCAACACTAATTGAAAGAATGGGGGATGGCTTTCATGGGCGCTTATGAAGAAGCGGTTACCCATTGGGGCTTGGGCAATAGCATTGACATTTTGAAATGATCGGGGCAAGTTAAAGATGGCCATCAGTCAAATGATGGATGGGAATAGGAAGTGAAGAAGTTAAAAGGAGAGAGAAGTCTTGGATTTAGATATGGAAGCTTGGCACCTGGGCAGTCTCGCCCACGTTGATAGATCTTTGGTGGACATTTGTTGCCTTATCTTTGCACTCCGTTCACTGCATACCTTGCATGAGGATATCAATGGCGCAATGCTTATAATTTAAACACCATTTCTGCTTTCTGCTATAATATTGAAATTACTTTATAATTAGATATTAATGCATCTTGTACTACAAAGTAGGTATGTAAGTATGTAAGTATTTTAGTATCTTAGTATCTCAGTAGAAAAGTAGAAACCTGCCTAGAAAATCGGCAATGACGCATTTGGGAGGCGATAGCATCATGCCAAGACCTGGCCTGTGCTGATCGGATTAGGAAACATGCACGCGATAGTTAGCTATAGCTAGCTAGGTAGCTTGATATAGTTGTAGATCGAAAGAGAAAAAAAAAGTGTGATTAAACTAAATGCTCAAGACCCTGACATAGAACAAAGGACTGTGGTATAATACAAAGAACAGGCCTACAAAGGTAGGTCAAAATGTCACCAACAAGCTACCGCTGTCGGCTGTGCACCGGGGCTGTGCAACCTCATGCACTTTACGCCTCACCCACAAAGCCCAATTTCTCGCCCACTTTGATGCGCTGGCCTTTCTCAATACTCCAAGTCCACCCGTCACTGGGGGCATTTTCCGGCCAGCCGGCATCAACAGACTTGGGGGTTCCAAGAGGAGCCTCGAACACAAGTACAATCGAACTGCCAAGCTGGAACCCACCCATCTCCTCTCCACGTTGCAGTGGATGTCCGTCAAGGGTCCGGCTGGCGTGGCGATAAGTTGCCTCAACGAAGCCGGGATACTGCTCACCACGCTTGGCAGCTAACGCTGCGGCCAAGTCCGCAGCGGTATCAGTCAACAGGCTGTTCGTGCGCAGCTCCGAGTCAAAGTTGATTTTAATGGAGCCTACATTGGTAGCTCCGACCGGCGTGTAACTGAAGAAACCCCACCTCCATCGGCCGAGGAGTGCAACTCGCTCGTTGAGGGTGAATAGACCGGGTAGATGTCTCTGCAGATATGGTGAAACCGAGTATAACTCACCAGCAAAGTGGCGGCGGCTCTCGACCACCCAGGGAGCGGGGGAGTGGAAACGGTGGTAGTCACCGGGTGCTAGGTAAATTACAACGTAGAACAAGGCATGGTTGGCTGCGGTTTTGGGCGCGTACCACGGTGTTCCATCGCCACGAGCCAGGTCCTCTTGCACCTGAATTTCCGAGGTTGGTTTGGATGCGGTTGAAGCATCCAATGAAGCACGTTGTTTGGGAGCACCATCTTCTCCCGAAAGAAGGCTTGGGAGAGTGTAGGAAATTCCGTTCATGCGCGCGAACTCTTCATGCGCAGCCATGTTCTCGACATCTTTTTGAGTCTCTTTCCGGCCTTGGTCGGTGAGTCGCTTGGAGTGGTCGGCGTGCGCAGGCGTGGCTGATCCGAGGAGGGCATCCAGACTGTATGTCATTCCCTTGACTTGCTCCACCTCGCCCCGTTCGATCATTCCAAATTGTAAGATTCGGCCGTCGGAGGGAGCTAGAAGGGCACGAGGGTCGGGGTCCAATGGTCGAACGCCAGGCTTCAGCTTACGGTAGAAGAATGCCGCCAAATTCGGGTAGGTGTGCAGGTCGGGCTCCGCAACCTCCTCGAGGTTGACACCAAAGGCCCAGGAATAGAGTTTGAATCCGGGAACGCGGAGGTAATAAGGAAGTTCGATTTCGTTGAACTGACCCCATAGACGCGACATAGCCTTCAGGGGCAGAGTGGACATGATCTGAACATGCCATGGGCCTGAAAGGCTGATCCTCGGGCGAGGAGGTGGCCGTTTTCCATCTTCCCATTCATCGCCGGCGGCATCGCGAGCAAGCCGATCCCGTTCCGCACGTTGTGACTTGTAGAAAGACAGCAACCCTAGCAAACCGATTCCGAGTCCGACTGGGATGGGATACCATTCGACCTTGGTATTGCGCAGAGCAAAACCTAGCCTTGACCCAAATCCTCCTCTGTTGTTTTCAGAGTTATTGTCCTTCTGATATTGTCTCCAAGATTTAGACGAAAAATGCCGGAGGCTGGCTTTATGGCGAGCCGTGGCCCGGAACGAAAGAACCTCCATCGACGCAGCCCCGATCCGAGGGGCAGCGGGAGGACAGTGAAGGAGAGGCGAGGAAGTGAAAAGGCGCTTGGCCATAATGTTTAATCCATCGGTCTGGAGCGCTAAAATGGACCCCTAACTAAGCCCAGAGCGTTTTTTTCCGAAAATGGGGGAAACATGTTGTTACCGATTGACCGCCCGGCAGAATTGCACGTGGAGATACAATGGATGGACTGTCTTACTCTCTCTACTTTTATATCAAACACATTTCATTATAAATGATCATTTCTGCGATTCTGATTCTTTGCATCTTCTCTCATCTTGCATCGCTCTTCCCACTTCCTTTCTAGCTGCTATAGAGTCTCGCAGAGGACACTGCAACATCGACGTCGCTTATCGATCGATTGATGCCAGATATCAGCAACTAGAATCAGTTCCATATGGGCTTTTTAGCTTACAAACGACTACAGTTCTGAAGCAATGGCGACAGGATTATCATCTCAGCCCATGGTAAATGGAGACAAACCGGGCACAATCACGCTTCATATACTCTGCCAGTCTCTACCCCCTCCAAGCCGGTTTACACTCGAGAACGTTCCACTCTCCTCCACAATCGCGCAGCTCAAAGGTCGGATCGAACAATCCTTTCCGAACAATCCTCAAGCATCACACCAAAGACTCATCTACCGAGGGAAACCCCTAACTGTTGATGACGCAACACTCAGAGCAGTAGTTTCATCTATGGAGGTAAGTATCCTGTTCCTAAACTACACCATATGACATTTCGTCCTAACTGAATGGGATTTTCTCTTGCAGGAAGGCATTGATAGTATGCACCTCGTGCTGCCGCCTGAGCCAACACACGCAGCAGCACCTCCTGCCTCTGAGATGCCGCAACATTTGCATCTCGGGAATTCTGCTCAAGCTTCCACTTCCTCGTCCACCTGGGTTGATGACTCAAACCCTGATCCTTCGGTGACTACAGCTAGCATGTCCTCACACTCCAGCATTCCCAGGGAAACGGATGCCACTTCGGGTTCTCCACGGGTCACATTCAATCAATACGTCAACGCCTCTTCCTTTAACCGACACTCAGCAGCTACAAACGCACCAGAAGCCTATGGTGCAGAAACCTCTCAGCGTATTTTCACTTTACGGCGTCATATCGAGGAGATTGAGGGACAACTCGACCGACGTATCATGCCATGCATGGAGAACATCATTCTTATACGGAACCAACTTCTTGAAATTCAAGATGCACGACCTGCGAGACAACTTCCTATACCAGGTGTTGCGGAACTGGTTGCTCGCATTCTTGATTCTCAACAGCGCGCCCGTCTAATGGAATTTATGCAACAGCAGCACTCGCAGCCAAGCGTTGTAGCTCAAACCGCTACCCGAAACACGCTCCAAGCAGGCTCCATTCAGTTATTCATGCTGTCCTCGCCAATGGGAGACTATCATAGCGGCCTATTAACACAGAACCATCACTTGGTATCCCGGCCTGCAACCCAGCGGGCAGGTGCACCCAATCCAGCCGTTGCTAACGAACCCGGCGCACCCCAGACACCCCAAGTACCTCCAGCACCCCAACCACCTAACCAAAACGCAGCGGTGGTCCAGAACGCCCTGCGACAAGCAATCCTCAACCAAGAGCGCCGTGGCAACAACGTCGAGCACGCTGGTCTGGCACGACACATCCGCCGCATCTGGTTGTTCACCCGTCTGTGGCTCTTCTGCTACCTCACCAGCGCCCCTGGTACCTGGAGGCGTTACATCTTTGTCAGCATTGCCTTGCTTGTTGCATTCTTTTCTGAGACCAATATTCCACGGCAGTTTGCGACAACGATCATTAGTCCCATCCAACGTCATCTCGAGGGCCTCACTCATGTCGGTGGGCCAGCAGATCGAGCCACCCAAACTGGAGCCAATGACGCTGCTGCAGAGTTCAATATTTGGGACCAGATACGCCGCGCGGAGCGAGCCATTGTTTTTCTTTTTGCAAGTCTAGTTCCCGGTCTCGGTGAGCGGCATGTCCAGGCTCGCACTGCGGCAGACCAAGCTTTCTTAGCTGAGCAGGAGCGCCAGGCACGGGAACGTCAGGAGCAGGAGCAAGCGCGGGAGCGGGAGCGCCAGGAGCAGGAACGGGCCCAAGCTAGTGTGGTGGAAGATACGGGAAATGCAGGTACCGAACAAGAATAGGTATCATGCGCATGCACAGTCTGGACAGAGTCCAGCAGAGAACAGATCTATACCGGGAGGTACATTTGCTTTTCATATCCATATCTTTATTAGCGGTAGCGTCTTTTATCTAGTTTCTGTAATTGAACTCAATATGGGCCAAAGTGATACCCACAACAATCCATATTCTCCATGAAATCAGGTTACTAGAGCGATCAAACCCTTGTTCAAGGCAGTTGTCTATATCGCTTTGTAGTCATTGTTTCAGAGCCACCGATAATTGATAATCTCAGAAATATGTAATGATGTCTTCGTTCTATTCATCACAAACCATTGCCCCGGTAAATTGCGCAAACCATCAACTCACAACTTCGTGGCACCTGCATTCGCAGGTGGCTCAGAAGGCGGAGCCATAGGGCCTGTATTAAAGGATTCCTCGCCATCAAAGTGCCTGCCGAAGTCTATATCAGTAACTTCTCTCGAGACCAAAAGGAAAAAGAAAGGGATCCACTCACCATCCACGCTCGGCACCACCACTCAAAAAGCTACAGTCTCCATTCGCCAAACAATCCCATCCACCCCCAACACCGCGCCCATTCTTCCACTGCGGCGGGGACCCCGACGCACGAATGAACGTCGTACCCTCGGCAAGCGGCTTCTGACTCGAGCATTCTTCCTGATCACCGCTCTGTATAGTACTAGCAGTAGAAGAAGTCCCCCTCCTCTTAAAAGTACTCAAACCAGCTGTGAAAACATTAAAGTCCTCTTCGGAACTATCATCTGGCATGTGGCCGGTAAGAGCTCGTCCCATAGCAATGAGCGGCGCAGCATGCGCGCAGATTAGCACAGACTTGCTGGTTCTTTGGTCTGGTGGTAGATCTGCTTCCAGGGCAGAGACTTCTGCGTCGATGTCGGCGATTATGCCTTCCAGGGTTGTTGCTACACGGTTGTGGAGCTGCGTAATTGTTTCGCCGCGTCTTGAAGGGATGAGCAGGGGCTTGTAGATTTGGCTGGCTTCTGGGAGGAGGGTTGGGAAGTGGGTGGACATTATTTGGAGGGTTGGGTGGGCCGGGTGGTCGAAGAAGTCTGTCGCACCGAACCATTCTCTGGATTCCAATTAGCTTTGCTGATGATATGGTACTTGTAAAGTACTTCTTTTGTTCGGAACGATAAAGCGAAATGGTTGTGTTGATTGGGTAGGGTAGAAGGAAGTTCAAGTTTGAGGAGAGGTATACTACGTACCCTAGCCCATTTTCAATTCGTACATCAAACTCCGCATGCCGATCAATTGACCCAATCTGGCCATTGTGCTGGCTCTTTCCAGATTCGGTTGATATTCTCTTCAGCTTTTCAACAGATGGCTGGATTGTTTGGAGGCAGCGGTAGAAGGGACTCGAGTAGACACGGAACGGCTTAGGGTGAAATTCGGGGTCGATTATGTGCACCGCCAGTTCGTGTGACTGGTGCACACCGTGCGAGGTCAGCGCGGGGTCTGCTGGGTTTCCTGTCGGCGTGGGGAATTGGGACTTGTATGCGCCCGTCCGGAAGTCAATGGTCCAGTTGAGGCGGTGCTGTTATGGTTAGGTCTACAAGCCCATATTAATAAGTATATAGAGTACATACCCCATGGCGAGTCAGATATATCGTATCCAAAGGCATGGCGTATGAATACTTTCGTTGTTCAACTACGTACTGATACTGGCCTGGCCGTTGTTGTTGCGGGGGGAGGGCAGAATACAGGTACGCCGAGGGCGGTGAAAGCGTGCCTCGGTCCGGGCTTGCTTACGACATATGAGGATGAAAAGGCAGAGGATGGCACAAGCATTGCAGACTGGAATCATCTAGCATTGATATACGAGCGAACCATGTACTCTGCAAACCATCAAAAGTGCGGAACAGGAGATATTTTGTTCACAGCTACAAAGTCCAGATTACATTCCAGGGCCCGGCCCAGTAAAACCAACGCTATGCATAACCAGTCAAAGCAAGAACTTTTCTCAATTCTTTTTTAGAACGACTCCATCTAGTAGAAGAAGCCGAGGAGCTTGCCAGCAACGTGCTTGCGGCGAGCCTCCTCATGGTCCATGATACCAGCGGAGGTGGTCAGGACAACGTAACCGAACTGACGGGAGGGAAGGAGCTGGGTAGCCCACTTCTCGAGGTCACGGAGCTGGACGGGGTAGCGGGGGTTGATGACACCACACTTGTTGAGACTGGAGGTATGAACGTTAGTTTCATGTACCATTGAGACTGGTGGATGTAGTTGTGAATACGTACCGGCCGTTGAGCTGGATGACAATCTTGCCGGAGCGGTGGTCATCGACCTCCTCGAACTCGCCAATGTAACCTGAAAGAAAAAAGAGTCAGTATGTTGTGAAGATTTAAAAGTCGTCAAATACTGAAAAAGCCATAACAGCGCTTTGGAAACGTGTAAGATCTTCGCAAATTAATATATCGGACACTTAAAAGGCAGACGTCGTAGGTTGTTTGAGACCGGCCGCCTAGTTATCAGCCCGAATGGGTGGGACAAATATTCTCAAAACAGGGAGTGGAAAAAGCAATTGAAAAAAAGAACGCGACAATGAAAGAGGATAAAAAGGCAAAAAAGAAATTTTCAAAATTCACGTACCGTGCTTCTGCATGACAGCAAGGAACTTGACGATGACCTTGGAGGAAGGACGGATGAGGACCTGGCGCTTGCCAGCCTTCTCGGCGTTGTTCATGGCGTTAAGCGCATCGTTGAGGACGGAGGTCTTGACCATTTTGGCGGTTTAGTAGAATCGAGATTCTCAAATCGTAACGTTTAAAAGTAAAGATTATGAGGTATCTGTTTCACGAAGGCGGTTCAAGTCAGCCACCACTAGTCTTCGAGCGCAAAGAGTGCCCCTTTTTTGCATTGCAAGGAGTTCTTCAGCCCGTGCCGAGTTGGGAGATGCGTATCATCTTGGCTTCCTGGATCACGATTCCTGAGAATTATCTATAATTCTCATATGGAAGCAATCTAGACAAGATGATTGCATCCCCAGACTAGCTGAGAGGCTGTTTTTGGGGGAGGGCATAGCACATACCTCGAGAGATGGTCGTCGATGGATGAAGCGGAAGAAAACGACGATCAGTGAAAGTTTGGTTTTCGGGTGGTGCGCGGGTAGGGTTTGGGTGCAGAATAGCCCTTATCGTTAGGGTCACGTGGCGATAACGGTTGTCAGATTGGTGCCTTACCTTGACAAGGCATTAGTATTTTCTACATCTGTAACTAACTAGTTACAATGTACAATGTACCTGGACCTCCAGGACTGTACCTACACAATACCAAGCATCGCAGCAACACAAAGAGATCTCGAAAGATAAAGCAAAAATCACCATTAAAACTTCAACACAAATATTGATACAAAAGTCTTTACTTCTACTACTACTAATTCATTAGCACCCCATTCACTTATTCCATCCGTGGGCAAGATTCAGATGGATGGTTCTATACATGGACACCGTGATAGGATGGTTGTGGGCAAATATCGGCGTATACGAGGAAGGGAGACGAAATCAGGGACAGCTTTTTCATGACAATGACTCTTTTCTGGAGGGGGTGACATGAGGGGAAGGGATACATGAATGGGGAGCACAGTAGAGGGTGAGGGGGGTACATGAATTCTTGGGCTACATGAGTCGCAATGCTATAAGATGCGAGGAAGGGGGAGGGGGTCTTGTCTAATTAAAAACAACATAGGAGGGGGATTGGGAAAGGTGAAAATGGTTGTATCAAGAAGAAAAGGAAACTCAGACAGGGCCATACAGGAATTGGGAAGGGTAACTCATTCGAACGTGTGTCATCAGGGAATTGAGCACCAGCAAAGGGTTTTGGGGAACGGAGTTCATGACCAAAGGGAGTGATGGGAGAAGAATCCTGTGCTGGGGAATAAAAGGAAGAGGGATTTGAGGCTATCAGCCAAGCGCCCGGGTTCGATAACGTCGAGAACGGGACAGCTACCTTGCACACATCAGGAGCACCAATTGGGTGTGGGCTCAAGCAGCCCTAAGACCTGTGGCATTGAAGCCAACAGGCCCGATGTGAGTGGCAGATGCTTGGGAAGACGGAATCGGGCCAGTAGCACTGGTAATCAACCGGGTGGGACATAGTGATGGCTTTACGCCATACCAGCACCCATGTTGATCTGGCGCTTGACCTGCTCACGGGTCCAGCGGGCAGTCTCAATTGTGCGTTCGCTGTACTGTCTGGTTGTGCGAGTCTCTCTCACAAGAGAGGTGACCCAGTCGTTGCGGAAGTAGGCAGCGAGCTCGCCGTTGGGGAAGGCATCAGCAAGATCACTAGTGTACAGTTAGTATATGCAATCCAGACTAGAAGCTGCCAAGACCTACCCAATAACACCCATGGCAGACCGCATCAGACCTTCGCTGCGGTTGCTCTCTTGGGAGATAATGTGAAGGAGCTGGAAGATAGACTCGATGAAAGGTTGCAGTTGGGTGACTATGATCTAATTAGCATGCTGATATCGTATCTGTGTAAGAGTGAAGAGCAACATACTCGAAGAGGTGCCCTTGTAGGACAGAAGAATACCACCCCAAGCATCCATGATGCCTTCACGGAGAGAAACAATGTAGTCCACCATGTCGTATGGGAGGTCGGAGCTGGTGGTCACGCTAGAGGCTTGCTGGAGAACCTGGCCAACAACTGCCAGGTACGTATCGAAGTTGGTTCCGATGGCCTGAGCGATATCACCAAAGGTCTCAAGAATCGCAGGCTTGAGCTGGTTGGTGGAAGTCTGTTTGAGAGATTAGCATTGAACATCAACCGCGGTATAGGTGAGAGAAACAAACTCACCTGTAGAGTCTTGAGTAGGAGGTTCATGAAGGTGTCGCAGTAAGGCTGGACCTTCTCGTTCAAAGCACGAGCAATGTCGCTGACCAATCCGATAGCCATAGAGCAGAGACCGGGCTCTTCCTGGTTGCCCAGTGCGTTATACAGGAATGGGCTGAATGATTCCATGTACTTGATGAAATCGTCCTCAAGAGCACTGGCAATAGCACCAACGGTGGCAAAGATGACATCCGGCACGCTCGACTTGGCGCCAAGGGTAGTCAGGACCTGAAGCAGCACGCTCATGATACGATCGGCTTGAGGCTTGATCTCGGCCTCAAAGCGCTGGACGATAGCCAGAATGACACTGATCAAGCTAGTCTGCATCTCCTCGAGGAGAATACGGTCCTCGGCGCTAACGACCTGCTGCTGCATGGGAACAGTGTGCTCAAGACGCTGGATAATAACATCTGAGAGAGTTGCAACCATAGGCAGGCTGTCATTGGCAGAGTTCATAACAAAGGAGTTGAGAACTTCGTAGCCGGCGGTACGGAGCTGGTTATCGGCGTCTTGTCTGCACGGGTGTTAGATCAAAGGAACCCAGAGGATATCAGTCAGGGAACATACCGTTCAGTCACAGTCAATAGGGACTTCACACTGTCCTCAAAGTGCTTCGACAGAGGGTTGGTCTGCGAGCCATCGTCACCAGCAAATCGGTCTGCGACGTTCATAAGAGCCCAGCAGCAGGAGCTGGCAATCTTGGGGGAGTTGGCGAGACCGTTGAAGAGGCAAGAGATAAGCGGCTGGAGGTGAACCTCGGGATCGAGAACCTCGGGGCAGCAGTCGCACACGCGACCCAGCGCGTAGGCGGTGGAGTCCCGGACAGAGATGGAGCTATCCTCCATCATGCCAAGCAAAACAGACAAGGCCTGTTTGATTAGGGGCTCCAGAACCTCGGGCTCGGGGCCTTCCATGATAGCGCCGAAGGCAGCGACGGCGGCATCACGACGGTGCCAGTCCTCGTTGCGGATGTTCTCCTCGACAAAGGTCACGACGGGCTGAATGACATCACCCTGCACACACTGAGCGTAAAGCTGCATAGCCTGGTAGGCAGCACGGGAGACATTGTACTCATTATCATCAGCATCCTCGTCCTGTCGGCACATAGATTGCAGCAGAACGGGAACAACCTCGCGGGTAGCGACGCGAGCAAATCCGAAGAAAGGACGAGCCTCAACACCCTCTTGCTGAGCCTATAGGAAACATAATGTCAGTACATGGCCAAAGTCACTCGATCTCTCGGTCTCGTGCGCTTGATACACACCTCAGCGTTGTCATCCTCGATGGCAATCTCCTCCTCGCATACGGTACACCAGAACTCAATAGCCAGCTTAGAGACTTCTTCCTCCTCACTCTTCATGCCCATGATGCTCAGGCCAAATAGAGCCTTCTCCATGTAGAAGCGCATCTTCTCGTAGTAGGATCCCATGATGCGGTTCAAGCAGCCGAATGCAGCAGCCTGCACACGGACCTCATCGGCCTGGGTGGCTTCGCAGACGACCTGCATAATGTAATTGCGCTCTCCCTCGTTGTCCATGTTGGTTCGCACGAAATCGACAGCATCGCTGAGAGCGGCGATAGCAGCGTAACGGACATCCATGTTCGGCTCCTCGCGCCGAGCACCCTGGACTACCGCAGTAAGGATAGCATTGGAGTGTTGTGTCAGACTGGCGCGGAGATCGGGATCTTGCGACTCGCAAATGTAACCGATGGCAGTGAGAGAGGACTGCTTCAGAGCGTCGTTTCCACTGGCAACATTTTGGACAAGAATGCCCATCAACTCGGGCCACTCACCACGCGGCAACTCGATGGCGGCGATGGAAACAATCAGTGTGGCGGCGGCATTTCCAGCGCGAGCATCGGGTGACTGCAGGGTCTTGAGCGCAAGCTCTTTGACCTGTGTCTTAGTCTCGGCGTTGATGCTCTGAGCCCATCGGAGCTGCACCTCGCGCAACTTGGCTTGATCCCGGAAAGTGAAAGCGTTCTTCAAAGCGATACCGGCAGCAACACGGATGTGAGCGGGGCTGCTCTCGTTGGCTAGTTCCTGGCCGAGGGTGATAAGGTAGGCAGCCTATCGGGCGACAGAAGTATCAGCATTCAGGATCCTAGGGAAATCTTTTATGACTCGTGGCAGGACGAAGGGGGGGATGAGGGGAGATACATACGAAGTCAACCTCCGCCGCGTGGGCGAGTTGCTGTTCGGCATTGCTACGCTCGGCCGCATCTGGCGCGAGGGTACTCTGCAACACCTGACGGGCGTCCATGATGTGCAAAGAAATGAAGGATGTGGGGGGAAGAGAAAAAAGAAGGAAAAAAGAGGTGGAGAAAAGATTAGAAAAAAGACTTGAAAACCCCTCTGGACCCGGATCAATCAAAGGGTTCGACACTCGGTGATCACCACAATAGAAGCAGTGGTGGAAGAGGATTTCCTGTGGAAGAGTGGGAAGAAGGGACGGGTGTTTTTGTGGATATGACGAGGCGGCATGCACTAGGTCTTTCCGCGACAAGAGGCACAGAGAGGAAAAGGTGCCTTGAGTGCACGCCCAGATTTCAACACAAAGTAATTAGGTAGAAAGGTCTGGAGAAGATGGGAATACCTGTAGAAGTGCAAGATATGTGAAGAGACTAAAACAAAGATTCGAAGCAAGAAAGACCACAATGAGTGAGGTTCTACGGGGCTCGCCCTCTGATTGGCCCCTGTGCGGGGGTTAGTCAGGCACACGTGATATTTTTGCCTCAGGCAACACTCCTCCCTTGCTCAGCCAAGGACTTTTGCTACAAAAAAGTGATGGGTCTGAGAACATCCTCCTATTTTGACGCGCTCAATTTTCAGAGATTTCCCGCTCTAGATCTCTCTTCTTCTCTGCACTTTTGCAGCTAGGGGAATATAATCAGTGTCGAGCGCGATGCAAATTGTTAATCTTCATCTGGTTTCCCACTTTGAGTGTCTCAACTGTATCGAGACTTAACTACAGACATATGCATGCAGAAAAAGATTCTAGCTTGTCCCTAGTAGTGCATAGAACAGTCCTGTGTACGGTTTACGCTTTTTGTCGTCTTCGTACATTGTACATATTAGAGTAGATGTACTCCGTGCTAGTTACCATTCATTGTCTTGTTAGAATTAGCAAGTTATGACACCGAGAAGACGAAATATTAGAAAAGACATCTAAGTATTATTACAGATAACTTCCACTGTATCATTTTGAGCTGTATGAGTCAAACACCCAAATTCTTCAGGTTCTAGGTCGTCAAGGACAATACGTGGGCGACTAGTCTTCCATATCTTTCTATAAGAAAACAGACGTTATCCAATACAGCGAGGGGGTATTCGAAAGCATATCTCGAATCACACCACTATCAGGCCTCAACATTTATTTTTGGATAATCTTATGTTTATTGATTAAATATCTTTTCCACTACATTTGTTTCCCAGGCTGTCTGCCGTTGCCGGCATCATGTTAGCGCGGCTGGAATTGGATTTGTAATGGGACAAGCGTGGTGGTGAAAGCATCTTAGGGTCTCGGTTTCAAATGGCGTTCTATTCCCATCGGCCGAATTGGATATAAAACAACTGTGTTAAGTGGAAAGCGAAATGCGAAGACTCACCATGGCCAAGTTCTTCCCGGGCAGCTGTAGGCTCCTGGAGGAATGGATTAGGGACGTCAACTAAGTGTGAAACTTGCATTCGTGGGGCAATATTTACCAAGTATAAATAGGAAGATAGGGGCGCCTTCAGAGCACATTTCTCTCTTCTCGTTCCATCGTTCTGGTACAAATTGTTTGGCATCGGTGTAGTACCTTTTGTCATCTGAATCAATTGCGCTGGAACGAAAACATTGATATCCTCGGGAATGTACAATTTATCAATATGGATTCCCTTGGCTGTGGTAACGCGATATCTACCCGTTATTACTGCATATCGTAGGCGAGATATTTCTTGTATGATATCGTCGAGGTAAGTGACAATCTAGACTTTCTCGGATGACCAACCATTTGACCTTCCTAGCATGACTTCATCCAGGTGGCGCTATAGCTCCTATAGTATTACGGGATTCTTGGTCAAATTGGAAAACACAGATGCCAAAGTAGTTGCTGTAGTCTTATCGCTAGCAACTATAACCACTCGTGAATCCTCGTGAAGAGCAGCCCCAGCCGGGGCAGCAGATATCCTTCTCGATATAGGCTTTCAATGGCCACGAGACAATATCCTGTGGGCTTTTGTCCATATCCAAATCCTGTATACATAAGTATCATGATAATTACGTGTGCAGAGATGAACTTGCGTACCTTTTTTTCTCGCTCAATTTCATCTCCACTCCACCGAAAGAAATTGGGATACCCAGACGTCGCTCCTGGGATACGGCTGGCAAGGTTCAAAAGTGATGGAATATGACCCAGTGTTCCGAGAATATTTATGTGGTCATGAACGCGTTCGATCGCCGGGTGTTCGATGCCTATAGCTAGGTTGTTAAACTCTTTTCCGAACCCAACATTTCCCATGGTATCAAAACTGAGAAACATGGGCAATACACTAGCATCCATAGATTAACCTAGACTACTTTCAATATAAGAAGCAACCTCGTCTACCTTATCCTTAACACGTGGCTCATGGGTCGTCAGAGCTAGATCTAGTTATTAGTAAAGTTGTATGAAAAAGACTTGAGTTCCGACACTAATCTACCCATCTTTGATGCTAAAATCACGGCCCCATGCCTTGCGGCACTTCCGGTGATCCGTTATGTCGTGCGAGTGATGCATTGAACGGAATTTGGACTGCATTGACACTTGAGCATAATATCTTGACTTCAAGCACTTAGATTAGGCACCAAATATCAACGGTCCTGCGAATTTGCGAACAATATAGATCTCCCACGGTCCTACAGAAATGCAAATTTTACTTGATGTAAAAGTCACATTAACCGCGAAAGCAATCCAACCCACGAGTATCAGTACTTACAACAGCGCAAACTTTTTTAACGGAGATATATACGAGCGTAATCGAAAAAGGGTCACGATATATACAGACCAAGAAGTCCGTAGAGATATTCCTCTATGGACAAAGTGCGGAAAATTGACATATGAGATAGATAATACTCCAAGACCTCCCACAAAGAGCCCGAGACTAAGAAAATCGGCGCTTAATGCTCGATCAAGTCTTTTCGCGGTGAACGGTAATAAGCTCGAAGAAAGACAACACATGTTCACCCCAGACCCTATTTTACCAATTCCCTACTTCATAAATTTTAATAAGAACAGTATAATTGGTGCCAGGTGGAGAGGCCACATGTCGTGGGCCTTTTTGCGAGAAAGGAGCCTATGATCCAGCGATGTACGGCCCCGGATATTTCGCCCCCAGAGGTCCCACGAAGCCATCGCTGAATCAAATCGTGACTAATTGGAGTATGCATGCAGCTATTCATCTAGCCTTTGCGCCATTTTCATCCCTTTAACCGCTGTGATATCACAAACTCGGTCTGATTTTGTAAAACCAGCCGATGAACCCAGGGAACAACTCCACTGCTCAAGTTACTGTTATCCCCCCCCTCCCCGGCAATGGGAAGGTCTCGCTTCACGCTATGGCGACTAGATCGTATTATTTTACTTTCGGGTATCGAGCGGGTGGCTCGTTAGCGTCGTGGAACTTCCCGCTGTGGAGAATGAGGGGGCAGAGTGAAATTACTTTGGGATTAGAACTTTTTGAAAAGCAATTTCGCGATCGTTGTCAATCAAGTTATGATTTAAGCTTGAAGAGGATATCTAATAAGTCGCTAAAAAGTCCCTGGTGGATCTTGGCTTCCCTACGGCGACTGAAAAGAAGTCATATTCACTCATAGCGCCATAGTAAAACACATAGCCCACCATAGCCCTGGATAGAACCTTTTGAATTTTCTTCTTGAACTACGTAGAATTACATGGTCTTTGAGGATTTTCCCAATATGAGCTGGCAAAAGCTATGAAAAAAGAAGTAATAAATATTTCGTATTGTTAGGATGGAAGAAGAAGTAGATTATTTGACACCGGCCGATGAATCATATACCATTCACTCAGTCCCTTACTCCTCCAAAAGGCTTTTCAACACCTCAGCAGGTGTAATCTTGGGTGCAGCGATCTCCAATACTGTCTTGCTCGTGGTAGAAGCTGTGCATTTTCCTTCCCACGCGGTCACCGGGGCGTATTTGACAGAGTAGATCACGTTTTTTGATTGACCTTTTGGCGCATACTGGTACTCGTACATCTGGTCAAGGAATGACATGTCTTGATAGCTGACATTTTCAACCTTTGTACCGATGTGCTGTTCAATCAAGTCCACTACCTGCTTTCCAGTAATATCCTCTGGTCCACTAAGAACATACTTGGCCTTGTTGTGCACAGTGGTATCTTCTTGAGACAAGAGATGAGCAGCAAAGACTCCAATCTCGGAAGGATCGATCACACCGACAGGCGCATCCTTCGACGCCATCAATTTGAGAGTGCCTTGCTTTCCAGTTTTGCGGTACTGCTTGACAAAATCCACAGCGCTGAAAAGGTAGAAAGATGTAAAGATGTTGGGCTGGAGTGAAGTCCACTGCAGGTTGGCGAATTCGGGCGAGCCCAGGAGAGCTTCGATCGCCCAGTGTGCACGGGGATAGTAAGCGCCACAATCCGGGCGGACGTTCGCAGCAGTGGTTGAAATTCGCACGACATATTTCACACCGGCGTTCAAGGCAGCAAGCTGGAATGTAGACTCTTCAGCGAAGTGATTCGGTTCATTGTGTGAGGCAATGAATGCTCTGGCTACTTGGTGTTCACGGAGCCAGTCAGAGGTGATCTCAACCCAGTTTTGTTCTATCACTTCAACTCCAGGCAATTTGGCAAGCTTTTGGGCAACTGGACTCTTCAAGGAACGAGTAAGAGCAATGACACGGTGCTCAGACAAAGCCTTGCTTGATTGAAGCAACCTCGGCAGGGTTTCAACAACGGCTTGGCCAGTGTTGCCTGTGGCACCGATGATGAGAATTGTGGGAGCCATGGTGAGTCAAGAAAGATATTTGTTTAATAAAATTGTAAGATGAGATATGCTGTAACTTTGTCGACTATCCAGGTACTCGTTGGGAATTTATACTCGTCCTCAGTCTTGGTAATTGAGACATTTCCCTTCAGTGGAGCATTATGTCCCAGTGTATAATAATGCATGGAATAGTTAGTAGATTACTAAAGAAAGACACAATTGGAAGTCAAAACGCTAGTAAATTGGGCATAGCAGTGTTATCTATGACGCAAGTGGGAGACTAGTGGGAGACCGGGTGGGAGGCCGGTGGGAGTGTTGAATGAACAGTCATGTGACTCATGAAACACTTTACTCCGACGGAAAGACTTTTGGCCGACGGGCCGACTAATATTGGGCCGAACTATCACATAACTACCAGATAGAAAAGCTCTCCTTCTCTAGAAGACAGAACACACAATCAGCACATACTATAAGATAGATGATTTCTATACTCAGTAGCCTAACATCAATAGGAAGGCCGATGTATGGTGGGGGTATAGGGGCATATCGGAGCGCATTTTTATTTTTATTTTTCATATGCTATTTATTCTACGTTATATATTCTGATCTATTGACCTAAGGTAATATTGAAAACTTTATATTGAGAATATCTCTATATTCTTTTAAGATGTCTTTTCCCCCTACGGAGTACGGAGTACGTAGTGTTGTATTGTTGTAGTAATATTTACTGATGGGTAGCCACAAACAGCATAGAAAATTTCTATAAAATGACCTCTTGATATTCATCACGATATTTAGACTATTACGATAGATGGATGGATTATTTACCTAAGTATTAATATCCCTAGAGATCTAGATATCCATACACGTACCTAATTACCTGTACTTTTTTTTTAACCAGCATGCCGCTATAACCCGTCGAGTGGACCCAAATGGCCAATAGTGTCCGCCGGCGCCCCCGGAATGATATCCAGCATTTTCATCAACTCATCCACGTCCAGTTGTTGAGTACACTATGGAAAGCCTAGGCAATGAATTATATCTCCCGCAATCTCCAGCTGCGCTCAGTTCCCACACCTTCAGGTGTTACTTTCCTGGATGCAACGCCAGCTATCGGCGCAAAGAGCACCTACACCGCCACGAAGGGAAACACTTTCAGCAGGAGGCTTTTATATGTTCCAATTGTGCTCGAGAATTTGGACGAAGGTATCTCCATAGCCTCTTCACATACTCCTTTCAGCAAACACTCGCTCTAATTCATCTTCAAATCAGTGACACACTTCGACGCCATGTCCGTCAGCGTCATGGAATAATTGAACCTCTCAAGCGTGCACAGCGAGCTTGTGAGAGCTGCCATGCAGGGAAATCTCGGTGCGAAGGAGGTGTGCCATGTGATGAATGTCTACGTCGCAAGGTTCAGTGCTCTTTCAACGACTCTACTGGTACGATAGAAAATCAATCTTCTAGATCCGTAACACATCGTGTATCGAGTGTGAAGCATGATCAGCCACGGTTACAGAAGACAGAGAAGACCGAGCACTACATCCGTCTTTACTTTGAGGTTTTTCACCCCTCTTGGCCATTCATCCACAAAGGGACATTCGACATTCGCCATGAAACGCCCTTTCTGGTTCAATCAATGGTTGTCATAGGCCTGTGGGCTACTAAGGAACAATCTGCGCAGTCAGCAGCAGTGGAACTCCACAGTAAACTTGACTTGGCTCTTCGAGATCAAACGGTTCGCGCTACTAATAATATTTCCCTACAATCTGTCAACTTTACTAAGACTCAATTGGTAGGAAAAATGGGATGCCTCGGAAGCACCTGAAGCTTGCAGTACCTGTGTCTGGCCAATAGCAATGTACCAGGCTATCCTATTACATATCATCTTCTCTTTTCTTATCAACGGCCGGGCTGCTGTCGATTTCGACTTGAAACTCCCTCTTCCCCCGGCTGATTTGGGATTACTCAAGGCTCTTGTCCAAAGTTGTCGAAGGCTAGGCATGTTCTATTATCCGAACATTCTTGCCAAGTATACGGAAGCTGACTTGGCTTCGTTTGTTTGGGTTGGTATTGAGGAAATCAAACAATTTAATATAGCCTTGTACAAGGTTTGTGGGAAAGCAAGCAGCTCCAGTATAAGAGATGGAAGTACTGAGGATATTAATGCAGTGTGGTCTTTGCTAACTGCAGGTGAACTTCAGTTCCCCTTGCCGAGCAGGTTTTCTTTGTGGAATGCTGCTACGACAGATGAATGGTTGGCTACTAGGAGGGATGAAAAGCTGGTTTCTTTAGATGATGACTGCCAGGAAAACTGGATATCAAATTTTGCGGAGATGTTAAAAGTTTTTCAGATATAGAATGCAACCCATTTCTGCTTTGGGTATAGAGGTAGGGCAATCTCTGTCTCAAAGAATTGGGCTTTGTTTCTGATGAAAGTCTTCCCTTACACCTATAGTACGAACGAAGCAAAAATATTTGTCTTGCAGAAACTGAACCCTGCCTTCATTGATGCAATCATAGGACAAGCAAAGTTCACTCATCCCGAATTAGGCTGCGACATCATCCGTATGTTGGCACTATCTGACAGTACAGTGATGGTGGTTGTATTGGAGGGTTGTTTTCTCTAGATGATGTCGCTAGAGTAATAGAATAGGGGCGAATGGCCTGGGCTCGCCGAGTCTTCCCACTTCAACATCTTCTACAAAATTGTAAAGAGAAAGAGAGAAAAGTTCAGTCTCTAAGAATGATGCCCATCCTTCTCATATAAGCATGACAGCGTGGAAGTGGGATCCGCCAGAAGTGTTGATGGTGTGTCAAATTCAACAACAATACCTCGATCCATCACCGCCACTCTATCAAAATCCTGGATGAGTTTCAGCCGATGCGCAACATACACAATTGTCCACCCATGGAACTCAGTGCGCAGCAGCGAGAGAATCCGTGATTCCGTCTTGTGGTCAACACTGAATTTTATTGGAAGGTGATTAGAGATGATTGTACTCCAACTGGATTGATCTTGGTGGCCCCCTGAAGGCAAGGAATGTAAAAAAAAACGTACCTGCTTGTTGCCTCATCCAGAATGAGTAGCTTGCTTCGTCGCATCAACATCGCGCGCGCCAGGCAGAACAGCTGCTTCTGGCCTGATGACAAGGTACCTCCCTCCTGATCCATTTCTGCATCCAGCCCACCCATAGCCTTAACTTGTTGCTCAAGACCAACTTTCTCAAGTACATCATAGATATGCTTTTCATCAGCCGTTTCGTCGAGTGGATCGAGATTATTACGCACAGTCCCACATCCCCCAGGAAGAAACCAAGGCTCTTGTGGTATGGTCACAAGACGGCTTCGAATGCCCTCTCGACTATAGCAGGAGATATCTTTATTTCCAATCAAAATAGAGCCCTTGTCAGGGTCCATTAAGCGGAGAATAAGGGAAATTAAAGTGGATTTACCGGATCCACTCCGGCCACAGATTGCCAATCGCTGTCCCGCTGGAATCAACAGGTTAATACCGCTTAGGACCTCCCGATCCGTGTTTCTGAAAACATGATCTGTAGTCAGCGATTGACAGCATTCGATGGAGGATCGGGTGCTAGCGCTGGCGCTGGGGGTGGGGGTGGAGGTTGGAAATTACGACTGAACTTACTTGTATGAAGCTGACACCTCACGAAGTTCAATGCTCGACTCCAATGGCCAATCTGGCGGAGGGTCTTGAACCTCCTGTTCCTCCTCCGATGGCGTCTCTATCATGTACTGCTTGGTTCTGGAGATAGCGCCCATGGAAGTCTCCAACATCGTCCAATAGGTAATGAAGTACGAGAGGGTTTGTCCGAAGCTCACAATACTGACCATCGCCACTCCAAGCAAACCTGTATTCATGCTTTGTCTCAGTGTAACCGCCAGAGAAATAAGAATGGTAGCTAAAGCCGCAACGATTAGATCAAGAACAAGACCCAACCACCGCTGCAGGCACAAGAGAAGATAGAATGGCCGCTGGGAGGTATCAATGTGGATTGTGTTTCGGGAAACCAAAGTTTGCGACCATGCAAAGGCTCGGATTGTATGTAATCCCAGTAGTGATTCAGTGAAGTGCGTATAGAGAGGACTCTTAGCCTCAAGGTCTAGCAGACGTATTTGACGTGATGTTCTCAAGTAAGTATTCTGCAGAAAGTAAAGAGCCACTGCGAGGAAAGGTAGCGAAATCGCCATGTATCCTGATGCGACGCAGGTGAGAACTGCTTCCGCGAGCGAATTGCCAAAATCTGTCCGATTTAGTGCCAAGGTACTAATTAAATTGGACGGTGGAGATCGAGTCGATACTCACGTTCGATAGCAAGGAGAAGGCCCATGGGTAACGACATGTCCACTAGTGTCATGTCCTGACTGAAACTGCTTCATTGTTAGCATCTTGCTCTTTTTTCTCCTTATTGTGAACCTTTGAACAAACCGGTTAATGATTGCTCCTGTGTCCATCAGAGTGAAGAAATTCAAAGGTGCCCTGGAGATTGTGAGTCAAATCTGCGAGCGAATATACAAGGGCTGAAGTGACTCACTGCATGGTAGCGCGTAATAGGCTGTAGTGCAAGTTTTTGGAAGACCTCGGGATGATAAATATCAGAAGAACTCTGATTCATAGTAAGTACCGCCCCATTTATATGGCATATAGGGTTTCTCATCCACACTAACCCTCCACTCAAGCCCAAGAAAAAGAGCCCTAGAACTCCAAAAAGTGCATATACACCGATCCACATGCCAAATTGCAAATTAGGATCTTCTTGGGAAGCCTCTATCCACCATTTGAGCCATAGGGCTAATGTTTTAGTCAGCTATGTTGATGGTAATCTTATGTATGCATTGGCAATACTGACGTTGCATGGCTGTGAGGACCACCTCAGCCCCGACCAGAGACACAAAAACGAAGAAACTCATCTTGCCCATCGACGAGATATAGAAACTCAAATTTGAGAAGTCTCTCTTCCCTCGATTCTCTCCATTTGTGGCATTGTCTGACTCGCAATCATTTGAGACATTCACAGATTCATTCTTCTCTGAATCTTGGTCTGTCCATGATATCGGTGCTACTTGACGACCTTTTTGCAAACTAAGAGTCTGGATATCTCCAGGCCCTGTAGCAAATGTTTCATATGAGCCCGCTTGGATTATTCCCCCCTCAGGACTCATTGCAATGACTTGATCTGAGTATGGCAACCATTTCACTACGGAAAGAATGTTAGCCGTCTTGGGCATTACAAGCAGTATTTCAACTCACCAGCATGTGTGACAAGGACTATGGTTGCCATTGAACGCCGAAATAGCCCATCTCGACCAAGAAGGCGATCGAAACATTGGTGCTCAGTTTGAGCATCCAATCCACTCAACACATCGTCTAACAAGACAATCTTCTTTCGTGCATAGGCAGCTCTGGCCAATGCCTGGTCTAGGTGTCAGCATGGGATTGCAGATTCAAGGCTGCTCCAACATACCAAGCGCTGTTTCTGCCCACCGCTCAATGCGATGCCTTTACTTCCGATCATGGTATTGTCGCCACTTGCAAGATCCTTTAGATCCACATTGAGTGCACATGCATCTATGCATCTTTGGTACCAATCATCGTCGTATTCTAAAGCGCCAATGATATTTTCCCGAATACTTTGGTTGGTGAGAAAGGGCGTCTGGTTGCAATACGCGATTTCATCTGTAGTCAGGGTGACAGATCCTTTGATCAGAACGATTTCGCCGAGTAAGAGCTTTAAAAGGGCAGATTTTCCACACCCAACATCGCCAACAATCATGGTCAGTGTAGACGGCCTAATTTTTACTGACAAATCATGCAAGACAACGACATCTTCCGACCAACCAGCATCAGCATGGTCTACGAGAATTGCCAAATCGGGCATTTCAGGCATTGTAGGATCTTGGGAGGCCAACACTTTCTCGGAGCGGTCCTCAGAGTTTGGGAATTCGCTGTTGTCATCAACACCTGCACTATCCACCGTATGAGGGTTGTTGCGAATGAAGAGAGTCTGGCTGTAATTCCTCGATTTTATGGTCCGATAATCAATACGCCTGTCGGACATGATGTATTCTTGGATGCGGCTGAAGCAATCCAATGCTGCAGTCAAATTGGGTAAGGCGGCCGTTATCTCGCTTACTGGGTTAATCAGGATTGACAGCAATGACAAGGACGAAAAGATTGTTGCTGTGCTTGGTGGGTCGCCATTGGAAAGCTTGACAATTATAGCATAGCCAATAAAGGTGACTACAGGAGACAATAAACCGGGTGCGTTCCCTAAAGCAACAAATCAAATCCACGTACACAACATGCAGGAAGAGAAGAGCAATTCTCATGCTTACCGAGAATTATGTTAGTGATTTGGACCTTCCTAAATTTCTTAGACTTCTGCAATTCTGTGACCCTCAGATCTTGCACAATATCTGTCATCTTAGCAGCGAGTCCGAGCATTTTCATACTCTTGATGGACCCTAAGACTTGGGTTGTGGCCCCAACTCGTTTTTGTATTGCCTGCATCCATTCTCGTTGTCGTGGTCTGATCACCTTAGCAACCTGGGCTGATGCAATGGCTGAGACTAATGGTTCAGATAATATCAGCCATCTTCGTATGAGTCATGAAGGAACGCAGGTCCCACTTACTGAGCGCCATTATCATGGGAGCAACACAGATTGGACCGAGTCGAGTCTCCAGGATCCAGACTGCAAGCACCACTTGTATGAAATCAGGAGCAATACCGATGACGTGTTTAAGAGTTGCAACAATTCGTTCCACGTCTGTGCCCATAAGCGTGAGAGCCGACGATTTCTCAATGCTGGTGTCCATAATATCTAGCATTGATCTAAACGTTATGCTAATGAGACCAGCTCGAATCATCGTGACGGCCCTTGCTGTCAGGTATTGGTACCATGCAGTCGAAATCTTGAGCGAGGTTAGTAAACTACTTTTTGATTGTAGTAATATTGGGACGATGAACTTGCAGCAATGCCAATGTAGGTCATACCATACGCTCCAATCAGACCATACCCAACGGAATTATTAGTGTCCTCCTTGTTCTCGACAAAATTGACGGCTCTTTCGATCAAGAATGGCTGTGCCAACGAGAAGCCAACAAGAAAGAAACGTGGAATCATCGTCACGCTCAGGGGAAGCCAGAGAGCTCGTGCCATTGCTAGAGCAAGAGAGTAGGACTTTTTCTTTGAACCTGCTAAAGATAAGTTTCTAGTCACCTTGGAAATATCTGCTCAGCGGACTCACTTGATTCCCATGCTGCCTGTAGTCTCGCGTCGATCCTGGCCGAGGCAATCTTTTCGTCGACAGGAAATAGCTGTTGGAGAGATATGTTCTCGCTATTCCCTAACACAATTAGTGGATTTAGCCAGGCGAAGAGGCTCAGCCCAAAGATACCACTAGTCACTTCCGGTGTCCGCTTTTCATTCGGCGGTAACAAGAACCGACTTTTAGGTATCGACTCGAGTACCAGAAGGAAAATCTTCACAGCAAGGGAGGCGATGAAAATCGAAGGAATCGAAACGAAATCCCGTTGTGCGATAAGCCAATTCGTCCTTGCCCTAGCACCATCAAGAAGCGTCGTAAAGAAGAGGAAAAGATTGATTAACGGCGAAGGCCTCGATGACTTTACATGCTCGACCGGGGAAAGCAATCCTGTCATAATTGCTGAAGCCAGATCCAAAGCCGCAGCTGCTATCGTAGCTCTTGATCTAATTTCGGCGTGAAGGGCCCATAATGCGAGGACGGTCAGTTTCAGGAGGCAAGTCACCGTTATGGTCGCCTATAATTGTTCAGTTTGGAGTACTTTTAATGTCAAAACATTGAAAGAGATCAACCATACCATTTTGACGGCCTGCAGTGAGGGCCATCGTATCTTGTCATTTTTCTTGTAAAGCTGAATGACTCTAACTGGTGCAACCAATAGGAATAAAGCAGATGGTGCAATCGAAAATATACTGTCCTCAAACAGCAAAGTAAAGTCAAATCCTCCCCTGCATGAGGGATTACCTACAGTCGGCCCAAAGGAGTCATCGGCACAGAGACTAAAGGAAGTTTGATTCATTTTCACTTCAGTGTGTTAGTTTTCAAATAGAAGTAAAATGGAGGGAAAGAGAAATAAACTATGACAAGCTTTTAATGCATGCATGATATTGATCACGCGCGAAAAAAAGGTATGTTTGTCACCGTTATCTTCCGTGCAGTACGGAGCTACGGAGTATCTCGGTAATTTCTTATCGAGTTTTTTATTCTATCTATAGTAATCTTGTAATGAATGTACCTAGGTAGGTATGATGCATATGAGGAGAGCGAAGACGCCTTTTGTTTCGCCCAAATTGCCCGTCGGGCACGGAAAATATCTCATCTGACAAAGAAAATCAAGAAATCAAGAAATCAGATCAGTTGATGTAGCATCGATCCATCTTGTGCATGACGCAAGTTCCCATGTAATGATATGCTCCTAGTTCTCATTATTCTCTTCGTCACTATCGAAATTTTCCTCCTCGTCATCATCTTCCTCTTCATCCCCTTCTTGATAATCCTCATCTTCTTCGTCATCATCTCCCATCGCAGCATCCAAGTCCAAAACCTCATACCGCATAGCATCCCCATACAAAACACAAATAGCGCGCCGTCCCTTCCGTCCATTAACATCGACATGCACAGGCCGCGCTTTGGGGCCATGTAGAGGAAAGAGATGTATAAGGACACTCGCATGAGGGGATTCAGGCGAGAGATCTAGTGTTGTGGCGGATATAGTAGGCTTAGGAGCGGATTGCGTGCTGTTACACTCAATGTAGTCAAGGAGCAAAGGTGACGGGTCGGTGGTCTCATTTTGAGATTGTGTTGAGGGGGGCTGGAAGGGGAAGTTGAGGAGATGGGAGGATCCTTCTGTTTGGATTAATCGTTAGATTGTGCATATAAAACAGAGAAAAGGAACATGATAAGTCGATGTGTGAGTGACTTACTGCCGTCGCGCCAGAGAACCATGAGGGTGTCGTCATTGACGAATTGGAGTTGGCGGACTTCGCCGTTTTGGAGGTCGAGGGTTGCGAGAGATGTACTTCTTGTTGAGCTGACGCCGCCGACTGAGTTGAGAACGACGCGGTAGAGATATACTAGTTGCGAGGGTATCAGCAACTGGAATTTGATGAGTGATTGTATCACGAACCTTGATGTTTTGATGTAGCAGATCGGGTAGCGACGTATATCGAGCAAGGCTGGCCTTGCTCGGAATCCTGTGGCGCAAGTTAGCATTTGAAACAAGACGAAAGTCAACAGTCTCAGACTACCTCATAGCAGAAAGTTAGATCGGTAACCTCTTGGTCGCAATCGGAGTGAAGCGTCAAAGGCGAGCGGTGGAGAATTCCCCTGCGTTGGGTCAAGGCAATCTCTCCAAACACCTTCTCAAACTGGATGCCTAGACGCCTCGTCAAGTCATTAAGCTTAGGCGTATCGACAGATGTACCATCACCACCCTTGTCCCGGGACTCGCGTTGCTGCTGAAGAAGTGACTTGAAAGTGTCGAAGAACGAGCGGTCGTGACCACCTGGAAGCCACTTATCACTGGGAGGGGCAGGGGGCTGGACAACTCCGATCATAGGGAGTTGGCGAATAAAGTTCCGCAGAGCACTTTTGGTCAAGGCGCCTTTAATATACTTCACAGTAGGAGGGACATCGAACAAGTCTCTCTTCTCCTGCAGCTCTTCGAGTGTCTGCGACAAGGGCTCGCTGTTAAGAACATGGATTTCTTGGCGAAGCCATCTAGAGAAAGCAGCAAATTGGCCCAGTTCCTCGTTGGCATGCGTGAGAACACGATGCCCAAGAAGATGGAGGCAATCAAGTGTCTCTACAATAGCATTGAGTTTGGTTGTATCCAGCCCAAGGACATCGCTTAGCTTGTGGAATTTAGACAATCCAACCAATCGACTGAGGAGTACTTGGCTGCGCTCTAAGGCTGGGAGGAGACATTCGTGTGTCAGTCGCCTGATATTCTCGTAGCCGCCCGAGACAGCCTTATCCCATCTCTTGTGGCCCTATGTCGTTCATTAGTACACCATCTCCCAGATCGCAAGGCTCACATACTCTTTCGCCAACAATATCCGTGAGGAACTCTTTCATAGGCTCAAAGCAATGGCCAGTAACCACCAGGTGATAGATAGCAGTAATAAAATCACACTGGCATTTTTCCTGCAAGTCCTCATTGACACTGCGCAGGAACCGCGCAGGAAGTTCCTGGGCATTTTTCCACTCAAGTTCAATCTGCCGCTGCACCTGGCCAATATAGCGCAGCAAATTCTGAAGCTGGGTAGTCTTCGACGCAAGAAGAGACAGATATCTCCCAGACTTCGTGATAAAGCGAAGATCCATCGTAACAAGCTCAAGCGGACCTCGGCTATCTCCCTTAATCGGCGATGCTAGCAGAGAATGTGTAGAGCTCAAGGGGTGTGAAGCATGTCGCAAGATACGGCACGAGTCGGAGATACCGGGGGAGCTTCCCACAGGGAAAGAGCCGATCTCAAAACAATCAAAGATGCGTAGGTGGACAGTTCCATCGTCGAACCCGACTGAGAGCACATCAACCGAGTCGTTGGTATCCTTTGAAGAATGGAAGATGGCGTCTAGTGACGCCCGCGAGCTAAAAACATCGTCATCACCCCCTGTTGCAGGCAGGGTGCTCAGCTTTGGTAGTGAGCTCTCAATGTCCAACAAGGCAAGCTCCCTGGGTAAATCTGCTTTGAGCACGATGGCTGCTTTGGAGGGATACACTCCCGGGGCTAAAAGGTCGTCGATGGAGACCTGGCCCGCTGATTCATGCAAATGCCGCTGTGCAGCTTTGCTATCGGTGAAATTAACACCCCACCCAATGCACGTTGCCTTGGGTGCCGGGTTCTCAGTGGGATTGGAGTGCTCCTCTTTCTGTTGATAGGTCTGGTAGTGATGCACTGTCTTCCCAGTGTACGAACTGATGATGCGGAGCGAGCCATCTCCACACGCGACAGCGAGGAGGCGACCTGGTTTAGCATCAGTTAATAATCGCGCGCTAAATCAACAAAAAATTCTAATGATATCTGATCATAGAAAAAAGATATCTCAAAAACCAGCGACAAGGAAATTCAAACTCACCATTCCCCTTCCACGCCATCCCTCTAATCTCGCCATCCTCTTCATCTTCGCCTAGGTACGGATCTCCACCAAAAGAACCCCCGAACACTCGCTGTCCATTAAGTCGGAATACGCGCAGTTCCTCGTCCTCGGTCGCTAGCGCTATCAGGTCCATCGTGGGACAGTACGCCACGGCCTGCGCCTTGCATTTTGCCGGTAGGGACTTCTCCCCAACAGGGGTTAATTGGGGGCCATCGACTGCCATTGTGGGTGTTTCTTTCTCAAGGCGAATAGCAGATTCGGCCCATTCTTAGTTTGAGAACATCAAAGGTTCAAGAACTGAGGTGTGGCGCTGTTCTTTTTTGGCCGAAGCTGTTGATCGCGGGTGGTGGATACAGAGGGATTCTTGGCGCGTGTGTTTTGGTGTTGGGTCCGATCTGTTGGTATGGGATTCACCAACGTCACTCTAGAGTTTACATCGATTCGCTTCTATCTACTCGGTTGGTTGAATTTATACAGTGGAAGACAGTTTTTCTCTTTGAGATATTTCCTTTCATATGATTTTATCTCTATTAAGAGCTAAATGATACATGTGCGGAGTACAAAAACTCCAGTGCCGACGACCAGCGCCAGCAATATGATAATAATAACATGAGAATGGGAATGGGAGACAGAAAGTCTCTGAGGGAGTCTCGCATCAAAATGGAGCCCCATCCATGTCAGCCTGGATCAAATTCTTCAGATAACTGAGCTCATCCATCAACTCCTGCATGGTAGCATTCCCCTGGAACGACGTATTGCTGCGACGGGAGCGGATGCGCTCGAGGGAAGTCTCGCTCACTTTCCGCTCTGTGGGAGAGAGATCTTGCTCCGTGTCAGAGCCTCTGGAGACTTGGGGAAGCAGGATTGGGGAGCCATTGGGACTGCGCGACATCGCAAGGGCCTCCATGGATTCAAGGGCGCTAAATAGGGCAGCGTGGCGCTTGGGGTTGCTTTCCACTTCATCAATATTCTCGATGCCCAGCCCGGAACAGTCAAAACCAGGTGAGGACAAGGAGAGTGTGAGTTGAGGGAGACCGACGCTCCAGGGAGGAAGTTCTCCGGATGCTGAGTTCGGAGACGAGTGCTTGGAGTAGACAGTGAGATGGGGGGTGTTTGGGTCGGTATTGGTTGCACCATCCCCAGACTGCGAAAGGTCTGGTGTTGTCCATCTTTCGGCCGAGGATTCGTCCTGGTGGTGGTTGGATGCGGAAGCCGATACTGTCGATTCGTGCGAGTTATAGTCGGTTTCGGTATCGGTGCTCCATTCAGAAAACCGACTATATTCAGGCACATAGTGGGAGTCCGTGGAGTCGACTGTTGTTGTTGTCATGCTGGAGAAATAACTGCGTGGGATCTCGCTGTCCATCGCCTTGTCTCTTTCGTCGATGGCGCGAACTGCTTCATCCATGACTGAAGATGGCGTATTTGGGAGTGTAGGGAGCCTCTTTTCTTTGGTAAAAGCAGCAGTTGGCGTCGACAAATCACCAGAGCTACCGATATCTTGCAATGCTTCCCTGATTCCACGATTATCGTCAAATACCGCGGTGTTTCCGTTTGCTGCACTGCGAGAAGGAATTGGTTTACGGAACTGCGGGCGCGTCTGTACTGTGAGAAGGCGATCCGGCGCCACTTCCCCAGCGATTGCCTTCATCGCGCGGCGACTTTGAATGGTGGACAGACCAAGTTTGTCAGGAGAGCTCGAGGATGGAATCGCGATTCCGGCGTTGACCTTGATTCCAGGGATATTGCGGGAATTCTCAACAGGCTCGTTCTGTGGTACCATATTGGAGGCATTCACTAGTTGCACTGGCTCGAACTTTCTATCCGCCTCAGCAGGCTGCCTTAAAGCAGCCAGAAGGGCTCGGGCTCTCGGGGGAGACATAGAACGTGAATCTTTCTTGTGGCCCTTACGGGTGGCACTGTGCGTCTGAGATGCACTGCGATGAATTCCAGTCATCGGGGATCTACTCGAAGAGTGTCCAGGGCTCGGCTCGCGGCGGACCGGTGCAGATGTCTGGAGACGTATAGGCTGGGGCTGGGGCGGCGGCTTCCGCGGGTTCATAAATTTGTCTTCGGGGTGCATGGTCCGAAGATGTTCAGATCTTTGGGAGCTGCCACTCGCCGAGCGTCCATGCGCGCGACTGTCGGGTAGAATGATAGGGACATTCAACACATTCATGGGCTGCCCTGGAAGAAGCGGGCACATGGTAGTCGTTGGTTCTGCCTCGTTGTAATATTCTATATCATTATCGAGCAAATACTGTTTTTCTCGTTAGCTCTTTCATCTCATGTGCGTGAACTTGAGCCTCACATAATACCAGTAAGTACCGCCCATCTTCAGACCTCCTGTTCGCCATTGGGTCTTGTCTGGTCCATCGCCTATCATATCCGTAAAGGTGTGACATCCTCTCCAGTGTCCGGGTCCGACTCGCGTATCTCTTTCCATCACATATTGCTTAGAGAAGTTGTCCCATGATCCGAGCAGCTTGACCGACCGGACCTCCGGTTTGGTAATCCTGAATCGCGGTCAGCGCATGGAGATATCAATTGCACTTGGCGCACTCACAGTAGGAAAGTCATGAGGGTAGTTGATATCATCGCAGGACAAGACGGAAAGAAGAATAACAGTAAAAGAGAGATCGCCTAGCAAAGCAGGTAATAGCACAGATAAAAAGGATAAATCAGAGAATGAACATGCACCACAATGCAAAATAGGAACAAAAGAAAAGGCTAAAAGACAGAACCCCAATAGTAAACACGCAAATGAAAGGCAACAAAAGGACAGTGGTCTATAGAGGTCAAAAAAGGGACTTGAGCCGGAAGCCCGAGCTTATATGACAAAATCCACAAGCCGGAGCTCACAGACACAAAGTCAACTCCACAAAGGCGGTTCTATAATTATAGCCGGGGGATGGAAGCACGCTGTAGGAAGCACGCTGTACCTGTTTCAGAATCGAGTGACAGGTCTAAGAATAAACGGTTCGTTTCAGGTGTGTGTGTGTTCGGGGCAACGCCGCAGATAATCACCACAATGCCATGGCCTGGACACACAGAGCCCAAACCAAATATAATCAAATAGGCTGATGCTTCAGGAACCGCGGTGGTGCAATTTCCCCAGTGCAGTGCAGGGCGACAGGCTTGGCCAATGAGGAGCGGAAGAAGGAAGCGCCGACCACTCGGGTTGGTAATGTTCCTGCGTTGGGGAGTCCGGCGCTAAGAGGCCTCTTAGCGCTGCAGGCTGGGATGTTGAAACAGGGGGGGAATGAAATTGAGGTTGAAACAGTAGAACCGGTCGGATGAAGCCCTGAAGGCTGGATTTGAGGAAAATCAAGAGAGAAGGGGGATAAGAGGCGAATTCGAGGTTTTTAGGAGATCGGCGCGGGGATGACTTTTGACGATCACAAAATGGGTGATGAGGAGTGGAGCTAGGAGTGTTCAATAATCCGAGCTGATCTACTTCATATATGAGAATTGCGTACTCTGTATAAGAAGAGGGAAGAGAAAGAAAAGAATGTGATCTCCGATTCCCACCTCAGACCACGGTGTGGCTTGCGATCCTCCGATGCTGCCCCGTCATTGTGGTTCGTCGATCTCGATGCAAGGTACGCACAATGAATAAGTAGATTAAGTAGATTAAGTAGATTAAGTAGATTATTTCCATCAGATTCTGATTTACATTACATCGTGCTTTCATGAATATACTCACATAGAGTATGGGATATGATACTCTGTACTATTATTCTAAAAAAATTAACCAAAACATCAGTTCGCAGGAAGCTGCAAGGGCCCCAAGCTCTAATGGCGAATCACAGCGTTAGATGTTCCTATTGGTCCTGGAGATTAAACAGAACCGAGCTAACAAGGATATGTCCGAGAATTCTCCACCCCGGCGGTTCCTAAGATTAAGTCTGTGAGTGTCTGTCTGATATGTCATTTTTGGAGTTGGTCAAAATATGCGATTGGAAGGTAAATAAAGTGAATATAATAATACGGAATACTAAGAACTAAGACCTAAGATCCAAACATCGAAGCCTAAAACTGCCTAAACCCTGTAAACGCCTAACACTCCCAATCTTTATCTAACCTCTTATGAACTGCCCCAAGCACAGTCTTCAAAATCCCATACCCATCCAAGCGCTCTCCAGCCCGATTTCTCCAAGAAACAGTGTCAACAATATCTCGTAGATGCAAATCATTGCACCGACTCCCGAGGTCTGTATCCAAAACCTCCAAGTACTGCCGAGCCATCTCATCATTCCCAATCTGGAAGAACTGAATTCCAACCTGCCATGGAATAGCACGACAAGAAGGCCCATCCAGTGTCTGAGCAGTCTTAATAATAATGCTCTCTGCATCATCCGTAAACACCCCATCGGTAATTGTGATGATATTAATTGGCTTAACCGACTTGACCGGCTCTACCAGCTTAACCAAAAAGCCCGGGCCAGGTGCGTCCATCTGCGCTCGCCTCTCTGCCTCTTTCGCTTCCACCAGCTTGGTATACGGGTTCAGGATATCAAATAGTCGACTGCCAACTCCTGTTCCCCCGGCGGGTCTGACGGAGGAGAAGATCTCGCTTACTCGTTGCGCGGTTTTGATGTTGTGGTATCCGCCGGCATCGAGCTTTGGGCGTCGGCTAGGGTTGGAGGTGTAGTTGTAGTTGTAGGTGTAGTTGGAACTGTATTTGGAGTCGGAGTTGGACTTTGGCCGGTGATTGATGAAGTAGATGTCGATTCCCTCGCTGTCATATTTTGTGCAGACTGGAGCGATCGCTGCGATGGCATCTTTGGCTTCTTCCCAAAGTTCGCCCCTCATGCTGGAGCTATCGTCTACCAAAAAAATAGTGTGGAATTCACCGAGGAAGGCGTACTGAGAATCCGATTCTGGCTCTTCGGGGGGGCTGGTTGTGATTGTTGGGACTGCTGCTTCCACGTACGGCGGTGGAAGGTCTGCCGATTGCTTTCTTGGGACATTTGATGTATTGGTGCTATTGGTGCGGCTTCGGGACCATGATGGAAAATGTGCTGGTGTGATCACTGTGGTTCTTGCTGTGGTGGTTGTCCCTGCTTTACGCTCCTTGCGCTCTTTTCGATGGTTGGATGAGAAAGAGTGCCATAGGGATGTCTTTTCGGGAGCGCCCATGGCTGGATGTTGTCTATGTTTTAGATGAAGTGCAGATGAGGAATATATGCCAAATAGATTTGGGGGTCATAGAAGCTGCTCAGATATCTTTAAATGGTATGTTCCAGACAAAGGATTTGAGTCGGGAAAATACCTTCTTTATATCTACGTCTGACATCTATGAGGCGCTCGGCTGTGAAACCCAGTATACAAAGAATGGGTAGTATAGGGCAGGGAGGCATGGACCAAGGCACACTTCTTACCAACAAGGATTCACCCCAAACACATGGTCAAGACACGAGGTTCAATCTAACAGTCAGCCCCCACAGTAGGCGTAGGGCACAAAATTCTATCATGCATCACAAGGCATACATGTATTTCATTTGCTGCAGCCCTATTGTGAATGACAGACAAGGGATTGAGGGGCAATGTTGCTCATTCGTGTATAAGCCCCCGCCTTGGGAGACCCGGGCAACAGCTAGGTAAGGTAAAGCCATTGGGCTTCAGAGTTACATTTGAATTTAACCAATCATGTCAGCGCAGTTTCTGGGAGTTGGGAAGCCACAGACAGGGTCCTTTGTTACTACTGGTGGCGGAGCGAACACAGCCCCGCATAGGGCAATCCTGGAGCACAGGGCGCAGCGTAGTCTACTTCGCAGAATGAACTGACCCATTGTTATTGGTTTTTTCTGGAATTTTATTGGAAGCTATGATCGACTATGACAGAGCCTTGAATATTTCTTTTTGTTGTCTGTTGGACACTTCGTGAGTCATAATAAAAAAATCAAAACACGAGGCGCCCTCATCCCAAACCACGGGTTATCACACAAAAGGAAATACACAAATCGTTAGGCACGTATTGACGCCGTTGGTGCAGCGTAACAAATAAGAGAGAAAGAAAATAAAGAAAGAAAAAAACTATATCAGTCGCTATATACCCCAAGGCAAGTATCTCCCTTATGGGCCGATTGAACTGTATGTCACCTCGTCAGATCGGGCGCACTGGAGACTTCAATGACTGTCTTCTTCCTCGGTCACAGAATGTAAAACTCCAGGATCAGCAGCGACTATATCTGCCACTGCCAGTGCCAGGTCGATACCCATCGTCCTTCCAATCATTTCCAGGCACTTGACCACCCAGCGGCGCAACCTATGTTGGGGGCTCTCAACAACGCCAGCGATAAACAGATGCCATAGGAGAACTAGACCCCCAATGTAGCTTTCAGGCGGTGGGAGATTAGCTTCCCTGTTTACCAGGTGGACGTTGAAGTGAAATGGAACACTGCGACAGATCTCCACGGCCAATCGCCGGATCGTTAATCGCAGTGTCCTACATTGGACATGAAACTCTTCAGAAAATGAGGCTGGAGAGGAATTGTCGGATATTTGCCGGACATGGGAGAGAATAATTTCGCTGACGATGATTCGGGCGCTGCGGTATTGGTTCCACGAAGTGCAAACCCAGGGGGTGGGGTACACGTGGTATTGATCGTCGTATGGCAATATGCCTCGGAATTGCTTTCGAATGGCCAAGTCGAAGGGGGAGCTTACGTGGGTGGTGTAGTTGAATTCGGAAGAAAGAGCTGCTAGCCAGGCAATTAAATCGGCTTCGATAGCCAACGCTGCTGATATGATTTCCCGCTCATTGTTGTACGTTTTGGCGCAGATGTCTGCACGAAGGTTCGATAATTTGCCAATTATCATGACTAGTCGATTGCCGTGAGCTTCTGATGGATCAAGATACATCGCGATTTCTGAGCATTGGAGTAGCGACTCAGGCACTCGTGCGTCTCGTTGTAGGCAACTGATGGTCTGTTGAAGGGGTTAGCTTGAGATTGAAGGAGCGATCGACGGCACTCACAATCTGATACCGAAGATACAAAAACAAGCGAAGACCGGCGGCGGTCTTAAATTGATCAGTGCCCCGTATATCGAGCAGGGCTGTTGCCCCCTTGATATGGTTGGTCCAACTGTCAATATGCTCTGGGGCTCTTGATGTAATCACCTATAGACAGAGCATCAGCGATAACCATCTGAGGGGGCAAGAATGTAAAATCACATACTTCGTATATGGCAAGCAGTATGACAGCGCCTAGGGTTTGATTTGTTTTTGCCTCCTCTGTGTCGGCTAGAGCGGCATTAAGCAATCTCAAAGCGGATCCATACTCCCGGTAAGATACATCTTTAAGCGATGGCAACTCTCTTACTCGCGAGAGCATAGCCGTGGCAGTGGCAACCACACTTGCCTTCATAGCTCTCTGACTCGCAGGGCCCCCATTCTGCAACAAAAAATTGGAGATCATCTCACCATTCCAGAAAAGGCTGGGGATAGCATTGGATCGCAGGAAATAACATATTGCTTCATGTTTGGTGGCTTCGAGCTCGTATGAGGGCTGGACCTCCAACGGGTAATTCCCGAGCTGTCGCATAAGATAGACACGCTGTGGGTCAGAGTTGAAATGGAAACCCTGCTCCACTCCCGGGGTACTGAGCTCAGACCGCACAGGATTCCCTTCTGGGATTGCAGTGCGATGCGACCGCTCTGCTTGTTTATTCTTATGTGCCGACGCCGCAACTGCTTTTCGGACTACTGATTTGCTTTCATCGCGGAACATTAACTCCAGTTGATCCCGATATCCGGGACAGTCCCGCTTGGCCCTGGTGCATTGCGAACAGGCCGGTTGGGCTTGGTCACACCGAATCTTCCTTGACCTGCATTCGCCACACCCTTTGCTTGGTTTACCACAGTATACCATGATCCGCACTCGACAAAGTATTGTACATTGTCCACGGGTAGAAAGAAAAAAAAAAGGAAGTCGTAAAGAAGATGTTGCTCAGCCCCGTGTCGTCTGGACGGCGCTTGACCGCTTCGGGTATGCTTTGCGAACCAAAACTTTCCACTGTCGATCTTGCTTATAACATGGGTGCCTTAGAGCTACCTAGGTACATCATATAACATCTAATATGATCATTAAACAAAAGTTATGAGGTATACAAAAAACTAAAATCACCATGGGGTGTCATGTCCAACGCTCGCATGGAATGTACCTAACCAGAATGCCAAAGATCCTAGCAGGATTCTCGACTACTGCACGAGTAGGCTCATGGGTTAACTAGAAGTCTCCACACAGACAACCCCATGAACTGGGTATACAGGTCCAAGCATATGGTCAAAGGCGAGGTATGCGACCTATCCTTGACTTTCATGCACAGAAACTACGACTAGGTATCCCCTAAATAGTGAAAAGCCTAGTCCATAATATGTACCGGGTAGTGTTATATGTCAAATAATTACAGCAGTGCGTCGAATTTAGAGATCAACTATCTCTAGTCATCATGAAGTTAGTGCAGTGGGTGAAAGCGAGATGGATACAACATACACAACACATGTACTCATTTGATCTAGGCGGTTATGTCAAGATTTCCATCTAACAGTACAAGAATAGGTGCATGAAGGCGTTTGTCATTGATGATGGAAGATTTAATAATCTCCCGGGCCGATGTATTTGGCCTCAAACGACATTAGGGATATTATATGGTCTTTTTAAGAGGTCTTAGATGTATACAAAGGTGGTAAAAAGGCAGACAGTGCAGGGGACTTTTCTATGTTTAATAAGGGATTGGGTTGTCCTTCTGTTACTCTTCATCCTCTAATTCTCATAGTAATCCATAATATCCAAAGATAAAACAAAAAGGCTTTTAACATTGATCTCTTTTTTATTATATTAGAAGTCGAAATCTCAAGACGCTTCCATATATATGTAGGGACTGCAGATATCACCCCGCTCGCTTCGGTGGAGACTCAATCTCAGCATCGGCCTGGTTCACCCGCTTCCTATTTCCCCTAAAGTGTCCGCCCGAGTCCGAATCCTGTTGAAGAAACCCACCTGTACCAGTTCCATCATCATGCCATTCGCTAAATTCCCACTGGATAGAAGTCGATCGGTCATCACTGACTCCCATACCACGCCGAGCACGCATCAAACGACCTAAGCGGCTCCCTTCTACCATCTCTTCAAACCAAGGGATCCCCCCAGTTCTGCCGTGCTGTAGACTCCTTGAAATATCCGCAGAATCATTAGATGGTGGAATAATGACCGAAGATGAGGCAGTTTCTTCGGCTGGTGCTAGATCAGATAAGGTTGAGATACCGGCATGGGAATCTTCGTCGTCAACGTCCCGAGGAAGTAATCTAAGATCTTCCAGTGCGCGCTGGTCATCCACTAGCAGACTACCAATGGTGACAGACATGAAGTTAGATTCTTCGAGGGGCTCCTCTGTCCAGAATGTTAAGGGTGTACCACAGTAGCCACAGAAGACACGCTGGGTTTGGGGTGCATGGCGGGGCGAATGAATGCGGCGAATGGAAGAGTGCGATTCATCTGGGAAGAAGGACCGAGTGTGGGACTGATACCAGCTGAGAGGCACTCGTAACCACGCCGAAAGAGGCGTGCCGTGAAATCGACCTAGGGTTCGATATTAGCCGGGAGATCGACAAGCTTGGCTTGGATTTACCCACGATTGTCTCGGCTGCTGTCGAAGTATACTTCGGCATGATCTGTCACATCATCCGGGATATTGATTTGGTATTCGTTTCGGCCACAAGAGCATGAGCCGCGGAGCGGATCGAAGGCCATGGTGGTACAAGACCTACCGCGGCGTTGGTAACTTCGCAAGGTTGGGGCTGGATAGACGGTTATAGATCGGAGATGAGCGGCCAGAAACTCGTTTTGTTTGCTGAAAATCTCAGTCGATGGTATGTTTATCTTTGATAGTAGATTGGACTAGGGATCCAGAGTGCGAGAACAAAATTGACATAAAAAAGAGAAAAAGCAAGATGAGTTCTGTGGACCCTCTCTATGACGTTTAGAGGTTGCCAAGGCCCGTTCCCGGCCTCCAGTTTTACTCCGCAGCCGTTGGCCTTATCGCTTCGTATCGCTTTCCCGTGTCTCTCTGCTCTCCCTCTCTCTCTCTTTCACATTCTCCCATTGCCTACTGGTTACAATCGCCTCCCTCATCTATGCCTTGCCTCGACGAACATTCTGAACAACAGCGGTAGCCGTCCAACCCATCCAATCGAAACCGCGAATTCTGTATACTCTCGTCGCATTCATCCCACGCCCTCAGTTCCTCTCAAAATCCTCCAGTCATCAAGCACCACGATGAATCCGGATGATGAGCACGATCGGTCGTCCTCGACACCAAATGGGACATCCAAGCAGGGATCTGCCCAGGATAAGGACAAACCTCGCCTTACCGATCAAGAAAAAAAGAGCAATCACATTGCCTCGGAGCAAAAGCGACGCGCGGCCATTCGCGAAGGCTTCGATCGCCTGACAGAATTGGTGCCTGGTCTGGAGGGCCAGGGCCGAAGTGAGAGCATCGTTCTGCAAAAAACCGTGGATTTCATCCACGTGAAGCTGCAAGAACGCCATGATCTTATTTCAGAGATCGAGAGCAAAGGCGGCCGCGTGGACGACTCTTTCCGCCCAACGTGACCCTATTCCCCTCGGTGTTTCATTGCACTTTGGATCGGCATCCTGCAGCCTTTGTTCCCCTCCGCTGGTCGATACGAGGGTTCTGGGGCTGCAGGCATGTGCCGAGGTCCGAGCGGTTTTTCTCAAATCTTGGACCACATGGTCTTATACCCTTCTACGAATCTCTTTTTCTTGTCTATCTATTTGACCCCTGTATTACGAATGAGATCTTGGAAATGATCAATTGCGGGGTTTCCTCGTTGCCTGACAGATCTGGTCTTCGCATATGATTTTGATGTCAATCACGCATCCTCCACTGCGTTCAGTGGATTGAACGACTATCATTACGGTGCCACACATCTCTTACTTCTTGTCTTCCTACCTCTTTTGACTATTGTACATTGAAGCTTTTTTTTCTGGTTTGTTTCTGCTCCTAGGTACCAGAATGTATATGGTCACGGCTGTTGCTGCGAAGCAACTGGGGCGTTTTTTTTCTTTCCCAATGGCTGGCCTGAAATCGAGTTCTTTCCAGCTCGGAATGAGCACCTACATTGACATCCTCAATTCCAATCAAAAAACGAAACTATTTGACCGAGCCGTACTTCGGTCGCATCACGTGGACAGGGCTACGGAGAATAATTGCAGTCTTGCAGGTTCTAAGGAGCCAACCAGCAGGAGGATATCCTGTAGGTTCGGAAAGTTAGACAAAGTAATTAATCAATGCAGCGGGGACAAATGTGGTATCTTAACATAGACTGTACATATGTTTTAGGGGTCGCAACAGCCAATTGATGTATCCCCGAGAGCTTCGGCTTACCGCCTGATATCTGCCGGAGAAACCGAGCCCCTTCAAGGTGAAGCCAACGCAGACTACACCCTCTACAAAAACCCGTAACATACAATATCTCGTGCACAGTCGGGATCCCCAATTGGACATCCCTACATACTCTTACAAGGTCAATCGACTGCACACAAAGACCATTTGCCTCGAAAAGCGAACGGAAAGAGCATCTGATCCCCCGCAGCGCATCGCTGCCCGCAACACCCAAAACCAACATCCAAAACACCAGGCAAACGCCAAATTACCCAATATGACAGACTCCAAAGAGGCCCTCCTGTCCCACATGGAAGAATTTGACACTACCGAATCCGATCCACCCCCAGCCTACGACAAACCCGTCTTGAAAGCCAACCGCGGGGCACCACTTCCACGCCCACCACCCCTCAACCTCCCAGTCCTAAACAGCCTCCGCAGCCAGCGTGTAATCCTGGCCTCACAATCACCCCGCCGCAAGCAAATAATTTCATTCTTGGGCCTCCCGAACATAGAAATCATCCCCTCGAACGCCGCAGAAGACCTACCAAAAAGCCTAAGCCCGTTCGAGTACGTGCTAGCAACAGCGACGAAAAAGGCCCAAGCAGTCTACGAGCAAGAAGTCAATAACGAGATCAAGGGCGAGCCAGCCCTAATCCTAGCTGCAGACACGATCGTCGTGGACCCGTCTACCGGCTTGATCCTCGAAAAGCCTCGCTCCGAAGCACACCACATGGGTATGCTGCGCTCGCTGCGTGAGGTCCGAAGCCACAAGGTCTACACGGCGCTTGTAGCTATGGCGCCTTTGGCTAGTGCCCGGGACCCGGGGTATGCCATTGAGAGTACCGTCGAGGAGACGTCAGTGCTGTTTGATAGTGATGTTACAGATGAGTTAATTATGGCTTATGTGCGCACACGCGAGGGTGCGGATAAGGCCGGTGGTTATGGATTACAAGGGCTTGGTTCTATTCTTATTGAGAAGATCGATGGCAGTTATGATAATGTTATTGGGTTGCCGCTCAAGGCGACGCTCAGGGTTATTGAGACTGTTATGCAGAGGGCGGATGATGATGGGGGGTTGCCTGGGGATGGCGAGGAGAGTGAGGGTGATGAGTGAGGAGGTTGTTGGTATGAAGTTTTAGGATGTCTTATCTGTTGTTAGCCTTGTCTATCTTTGTCTTTATATCATCATACCTCTATGAAGGATAGAATAAAAAGGATTATGATTCATATTTAAGAGAGGTGTCTGGTTGGTGAGTAGAAACACTTTACTAGCATTACATACTACTGACAATTTACCACATATTTTTGATGTACCGTGTAG